GATCTTAACACAAGTAGGGTAGGTACATGAAGGATTATATAGAGTTAGTACAGTCCTAACACTAGTGGAGTACTTGCAGTGTACAATGTAGATGATGCAGATGCCAAACTGTAAACATTCTTAATGTACCAAAGACCAATGAAAAGTTCTTGTAAAGAGGAATTGTTGTCCATACTTTTAAGAAATGCATTAGACTCTTCCTACCCATGAATTACTAATAAACATTAATGTGTTTTTCAAATTCTGAAAAGTAGCATTCTTTTAAATCGAGGTAAATATGTTCTACTTTCGTAGTGGTACTTGTAAGTAACTTCGGCATTGACATGTAGACGGGTTACTCGTACTACTGTACATATACAATATACATAGACCTGTAGACGGGTTACTACTGTACATATACACTATACATAGACCTGTAGACGGGTTACTACTGTATATATAATATACATAGACCTGTAGACGGGTTACTACTGTACATATACAATATACATAGACCTGTAGACTGGTTACTTCTGTACATATACACTATACATCGACCTGTAGATGGGTTACTACTGTATATATAGTATACATAGACCTGTAGACCGGTTCCTACTGTACATATACACTATACATCAACCTGTAGACGGGTTAATACTGTACATATACACTATACATTGACCTGTAGACAGTTTACTACTGTACATATACAATATATATCGACCTGTAGACAGGTTAATACTGTACATATACACTATACATCAACCTGTAGACAGGTTACTACTGTACATATACAATATACATCAACTGGCAGACGGGTTACTACAGAACATATACAATATACATCGACCTGTAGACGGGTTACTACTGTACATATACACTATACATCGACCTCTAGAAGGGTTACTACTGTACATATACACTATACATTGACCTGTAGACGGGTTACTACTCTACATATACACTATACATCGACCTGTAAACGGGTTACTACTGTATATATAATATACATAGACCTGTAGACGGGTTACTACTGTACATACACACTATACATCAACCTGTAGACGGGTTACTACTGTACATATACACTATACATTGACAGGTAGACGGGTTACTACTGTACATATACACTATACATTGACCTGTAGACGGGTTACTACTGTACATATACACTATACATCGATCTGTAGACGGGTTACTAGTGTACATATACAATATACATCGACCTGTAGACGGGTTACTAGTGTACATATACAATATACATCGACCTGTAGACGGGTTACTACTGTACATATACACTATACATCGATCTGTAGACGGGTTACTAGTGTACATATACAATATACATCGACCTGTAGACGGGTTACTACTTTACATATACAATATACATCGACCTTTAGACGGGTTACTACTGTACATATACAATATACATCATCCTGTGGACGGGTTACTACTGTACATACACACTATACATCAACCTGTAGACAGGTTACTACTGTACATATACACTATACATCGACAGGTAGATGGGTTACTACTGTACATATACACTATACATCGACCTGTAGACGGGTTACTACTGTACATATACACTATACATCGATCTGTAGACGGGTTACTAGTGTACATATACAATATACATCGACCTGTAGACTGGTTACTTCTGTACATATACACTATACATCGACCTGTAGACGGGTTACTAGTGTACATATACAATATACATCGACCTGTAGACGGGTTACTACTGTACATATACAATATACATCGACCTTTAGACGGGTTACTACTGTACATATACAATATACATCGACCTGTAGACGGGTTACTACTGTACATATACAATAGACCTGTGGACGGGTTACTACTGGACATTTACAATATACATAGAATTTAGATGAGTTACTACTGTATATATTACACTATACATCGTACTGTAGACGGGTTACTACTGTAAATATACAATAGACCTGTGGACGGGTTACTACTGTATATTTACAATATACATAGAATTTAGACGGGTTACTACTGTATATTTACAATATACATCGACCTGTAGACGGGTTACTACTGTACATATACAATATACATCAATAATTTTCAGCAAAACATAGAAAATAATGTTTAATATATTAAGACATTTTCAAGGATTTGTGACATTCATAGGGCATGTGAATGTGATAGGGTAAGGAAGATATAAAGATGTTAAGATGATTAGTTTATTTATTCTTAACAGTTTTAAATATTTAGATGGCTGAAATAATAACAAACCAAAAACAAAAACACCAATTAGCATTAAATTTAACAAACTTAAACAATGTCTTAGAGTTTTAAAAAGTTCCTGCAAAAAAGTAATGTTGGGTTTAAGTTTGTTCGCTGAGTTCTGTTTGTTTCAGTTTTAAACAACTTGGAGAAAAACTTGGCCAGGTTGAATATACCAGATGAAAGCTTGCTTCCTCTCCCTAGAGATCGATTCCAACTTTTAAATAAATATTTTCTCTTTTATGTTTTTCAGCGTAAATTTATGTGACTCGTTTTTAATACTTGTTGGAGCAAAAATGAAAAAGTTTATTTTAATGTTCGAATCGATCCATGTGATTTACCACCCGATCGGATCAACAGTAAGGCCATTTATTGCAAACAAAAAAACAAACACCAAAGCAGACAAGCCATTTTTCTTTGATATTTCAAAATTTTATTTTTGATCTCACATAATTTGTACATAGAAATGTTAAAGGTCTTTGAAATCAGGAAATTCAGTTCTTTTTACCCTTAGATGGGAGTGAAGTTGAGGTTATAAGTCTAGATTATTCCCAAATATACATGTGTCACATCTAAACCTAGATGGGAGTGAAGTTGAGGTTTTTAGTCTAGATTATTCCCAACTATACTTGTGTCGCATCTAAACTATTTCCTTAAAGTTTGTATCGAGCTGTGGACTAGAGAAAAACTTTACCCTCTTCAAATATTCAAAATACAAAGTTTTTAATGTTTCTAAAAAGTTGAAAATAAATTATTTTTAACCTGTTCTAGATCAAAGATGCAAGAAAACATGATTTTGCATAATATTCGTCTGAAGAGACTATTTACATATAAAATACATCTAAATTCAATTTCCTTACTTGGCAACCATATTGCCTAGGATATAACCTAGCTAGAATACACATTCAAGTAAGAAAATTATAGAGTTGGAATATATTTTTTCAACATTTATATACTTTGTTTGTTTGTGTGTATCCAATGAACGTCAAAACGGCTTAAACGATTGGGCCAACATTTTGTGAGGGACCTCACATGACCCCAGGGAAGGTTTATAGATCATCAAAATTTCAAAAATTTGCCTTCAACAAAATTTGATTTTTATTAAATCAAAAAAATTCACGAATTTTTTTATAAAATCCTTGATTTTTTGTTTTGTTTTACAATGTATACAGAGGAAAAATGTTTACAATTGAAATAGAAGATGGGAGCGAAGCACCCTAAAAGCCTAGTCTATATATATACTTTGCTTGTCTGTTTGTCTGTCCGTTTGTATACAAGAAACGTCAAAACGACTGAACCAATCCGGCCCACATTTTTTGTGTGACCTCACATGACCCCAGGGAAGGTTATGAATGATCAAAATTTTAAAAAATTAGCCGCCAACAAAATCCGATTTTCATAAATTTAAAAAATCCACGAACATTTTTTACTAAGTCCGGGAACTTTTGTTTGTTTTGGTTTTACAATGTATACGAAAAGAAATAGAAGATAGGTGCGACGCTGCCTGAAAGCCTTGTATTATATATTATGTTAGCTCGGAAACCCAGCATTGTCTGGAAACTAAACTTTTCCCATATAAGTAAACCTATACTCAACTTCGACAATTTAAACCAAACTAAAAACGTTCCCAAAGTCAGGCGCACAACTAGACATTGAGCTGGGTGGGGGGGCAAAGGGCAATTATTTCGCAGGGGCAAGAAAGAATTATTATTATACTCAGCCATGAAAAAACTACCTTGCCAATTCAAGATATTTTTATATTTGGGGTCTTTCATTTAGTTTGGGGCAAATTTGTGAGGGAAAAATCTCAAACTATAATTCAAGGGAAAATTTCTTTAGTTTCGGGAAATCTCAATCCGTTGTTTTAGAGACAAAATTTATTTTAGGGGGGCTTTTTTAGTTTGGTGAATTTTGTGTATGGGAAATCTTAAATCTTTATTTTGAGATTAAATTTTTTTATTTAAAGGTATTTTTAAAATATGTAAAGAGGCATTTTTTTAAACTAAGGGTTATTTTTTGTTGGGGGCAAAACTTTTTAATTTTTTGAGCATCATTAAATTAAAATAAGGGTAAGTTTTTAGATAGGGCTGTAAATTTTAAATTTGGTTGTATTTATAAAACACTTGGGGATAACAAAACTAAATTTAGGTGCAAATTTAAAATATTTGGTGGCACTGACATTCTAAAAAAAACAAGAGTTACAAATGTTGAATAAAGGGGAAAATTTAAGTCTGGTATGGCATTTTAAAAAATTCCAAATTTGGAGTAATTTTTTAAAGAAATAAAAAGAATCTGAGCTTATATTGCAGAATGCTATAGTTGAATTTGAATTTGCTTAAAGAGTGTAGGTTTATAAAAGTAATACTGTGGGGGCATATTTTTTCAAATTTTCGAGAAAATTAGCTATTTTTTATTTATATGGACCCCTGTTAAGGACTTCTTACCCCCCCCCCTACGGGGGGGTAAGCTTTCTTAAGGGGGGCATGTCCCCTTTAATCAGGCTGGACCTGGCCCCCTTCCCCCACCCTAGTTGCGCGCCTGTACATTATACATTATATATTATACATTATGCTAAATACAATAATTATACAAATTAGGAAAGGTTTCGGGCATAATACACAATTACACATATTTTTTTCTATAATAAGTTTTGGTATCTTCGCATTTACTTATTTTTTTATCAGTAAAATTTTCATATTTTTAGAAAAGTTTTTTTAATGTTTCTAAAGCATAATTTATTAAAGATAATTTTTATTTTTTTCAGAAAAATGGATGCATTGAAAATTTTAGGTCAGTTTAAATTCGTCAATTATGATATTTTCGCTTTCTAAGATTGATCATTATTTAGTTCTCAAAATGCAGTCTTAGAGCATGACCAAAATCACAAAATGCAATCTTAGAGCATGGTCAAAATCACAAAATGCAGTCTTAGAGCATGGCCAAAATCACAAAATGCAGTCTTAAGGCATGGCCAAAATCACAAAATGCAAATTTAAAGCATGGATAAAACCACAAAATGCAGTCTTACAGCATGGCCAAAATCACAAAATGCAGTCTTTAAACATGGCCAAAATCACAAAATTCTAACGAATTTTTGAAATCCTTATATTCAACAAACAAGCTTGCCTTTTCTAACTTTTGTATAAAGGGGAACTAGAGGAGCAACGATATCTTAATTGTTCTTTATCTTGAATGTTTTGGAATGATCTAATCAAAGAAGTAATGTTAGTTTTAATTTTTTTATTTAATATCATCGGTTATGTTACTGTTATGCAGAACAGTATGTGGACATAGACCATACATATGTACAGTTTAATGTACAACTATTTAGACCTAAATGTTGGAGGAGTACTGTACACAACATCAGTAGAAACTCTCCTTAAGGTAAATAAACAAAACAGAACTTGTTACAATCACTCTAAACCAAAATGTTGATAAAATTCTAGTCAGTAGTCAGGAATTTTTAGAACTGGATCCTTGCATTGGTCTTAACTTTTTCATCCTGTGAATATTCTATATTCCATGGTAACATAAGAATTCTAAACATGTCCAATTTTTGTCATTTGGTTTTTAATCTGGAATGAATTGTCCGTCAGAAGTTTTCAACTCCTCATAGGGACTGCAGTTCTTATTTTTAGGGAGCCTCCCAATATTGACGGGCATGCCCAATTTCTAACGGTAACCTTTAAATCCTGTTGTGATCAGTATTGTGGAGAATATTGTTTTTTTTTCTATCTTGAAAATTATTTGAATTTTGATAATTTTCCTTTTTTAGAATCAAGATATGTACGAGTCACTTTTGTAGAGAAGCCACAAATTAAAATAATCAATTCTCAAAATCAGAAACATGAGGCCGAATATAAAGAATTTGAGCCGCGGTTTAAATTTAAGCCGCGGCTTAATTATGGTTGGTTTCACTTAAAATTGTATGAAATGTTTCAAGATTTAAGCCGGCGCTCAATTTAAACCGGGTTTTGGCGGATTTAAGCCGTAATTTAAATTCTTTAAATTCGGCCTCAGGATTCATACTTAATTAGAGTAAGATTCTAAGGGTACAGTTATGTATCGGACATGCAGCGCTATCAATGTTTACAGTCCCCTTAAATCGGGAAAATTAGTTATCTCTGATAACGTCTATAGTCTATAGTCCAGTCTGAAATAAACCGTCACAGGTTAAGCTTTCTGCTCAAACTTAATATTTACCTTGAAATAATGAAAAATATTCAACATCTAAATATTTCTTTTTTATGATTTCTATGAAATGTATAATCGAGAGTCGAGACTATTTAAATCTATCTATCTATCTATCTATCTATCTATCTATCTATCTATCTATCTATCTATCTATCTACCTATCTATCTATCTATCTATCTATCTATCTATCTATCTATCTATCTATCTATCTATCTATCTATCTATCTATCTATCTGTCTGTCTGTCTGTCTGTCTGTCTATCTATCTATCTATCTATCTATATCTATATCTATCTATCTATCTATCTATCTATCTATCTATCTATATATCTATCTATCTATCTATCTATCTATCTATCTATCTATCTATCCAGGACCCTGACTCTATGCTGTATAAGATGTTTTCAAAAGATGTAAAAACTCTGACCCGAGGAAAGTCCAGAATTCCAACATTTCTGTTGAAAAGAAATAAAGTGAGATCAAATTCAATTAGAAAAAGAAAAGAAAAATATAAAAAAATCACTTTTTCTCTTTTATGCGTTACACATTCTTTCCTATCAGTTTTTATAAAACATTTGCTTTTGAAACTCGAGATTTTATATAATCAAAATATGTTTACTGTTTGTTTAAATCGAATCCTTAAAAATCTTTCAAGTTTCTTCATATTTCGTTTTCTTCTTCCTATCAACCTAATATTTCCAATAAAAAAATATTTATAATTTGTAAAAACAAGACAAGTATGCAGAGTTTTCTTTGAAAAAAGTGCTTTCCATCTGCAAGCACAATTTGTTATTATTTATATGTGGATAATCAAATAATTTCTGATTTTGGTCTTTAGAGTTTAATTTCCATGTAAATAGGTATGAATCTCAAAGTAAACAAAAAGTGGAAGCACATGGTTTGTTTACCTTCCACCCACAGAGTGCAGTACACAATTTGCGTACTTTTTAATTGGAAGTTCCTGATATCTTTCTTGGAGCCTACCAGTGCACATGTATATTCCTTGGAGCTTGCCAATACACATGATTCTTCCTTGGAGCTTACCAATACACATGATTCTTCCTTGGAGCATACCAATACACATGTATCTTCCTTGGAGCTTACCAATACACATGTATCTTTCTTGTTGCTTACCAATGCACATGTATCTTCCTTGGAGCATACCAATACACATGTATCTTCCTTGGAGCTTACCAATACACATGTATCTTCCTTGGAGCTCACCAATACACATGTATATTCCTTGGAGCTTACCAATACACATGATTCTTCCTTGGAGCATACCAATACACATGTATCTTCCTTGGAGCTCACCAATACACATGTATCTTCCTTGGAGCTTACCAATACACATGATTCTTCCTTGGAGCTTACCAATACACATGTATCTTCCTTGGAGCTCACCAATACAAATGTATCTTCCTTGGAGCTTACCAATACACATGTATCTTCCTTGGAGCATACCAATACACATGTATCTTCCTTGGAGCATACCAATACACATGTATCTTCCTTGTTGCTTACCAATACACATGTATCTTCCTTGGAGCTTACCAATGCACATGTATCTTCCTTGGAGCATATCAATACACATGTATCTTCCTTGGAGCTTACCAATACAATACACATGGAAATACCATTTTTAAATATTTTATACAAAAGAACTTGTATCTATTTGTCAGACATCTTTTATCTTTTATCTTTTAACTTTCAGTATTTTATAAAAGAAATAATAATTTCGAGACACATATATTCCAGCCGAATTTTCTTTCAAATTTGCCTTTCCCATTCATATTTCTTTTTCGAATGACGTAATCTTTTCGATCTTTCGAGTATCATTTTGTCAAATTCCAGAAAATGCGGCGCTTGATTTTAACAGTTAGGGCCGTAACCTAAATTGCCTAGTAAGCACCCAGGACTAGGGACGAATAAAATTTTTGAAGCCCTTAATATCGAGAGCAATTATTAATCTTATTTATTGACTCCAAAACTGAAACACTTCAACACTTCAACACTTCAACACTTCAACACTTCAACACCTCAACACTTCAACATTTTTTATTAATTTTTTACTATATCAGTCAAAAAATTTCTGCTATTACAAATATCAAAGTATGAAATTATCCATTTGAATGTTTCATATCGCTCTTGAATGTCCTTGATTTGTTGTGGTTGGGTGTCTAGGTATGAATATTTACAGAAGATGGCAAAAAACTGCAATATCAATTGTAAGGAGAAAAAAAATGGTCGCATTAATGTATCGTTACAACCCGATCATACGGGATTAGTACATGAATATTTAAAAATATGTTTGAACTGCTTAAACTGGTTTTAGGGCTTGGCCCGGATTTGACAAAATGATACTCTATCATCTTTTCTATCTTGAAATTTTTCGTTATCTATCAAACAAGTTCTTGTACGATTCCGTATCCAAACCTTCCCCTTTTTGTTCCCTCCTGATCCTGTTCATAATCATACAAGTCTTCTCCATAGAAGGGGATAATTCGTATTTGCCTCATTTTACCATATGAGGCTGTACGTACACTGTACACACAACTTTCACATCCTAGCTACTCGAATTTTTAAATTTTTCAAACTAGTTCCGCCGTTGTCATTGGTATCTCAAAACCGCCCAATAAATCTTCCAATCCTAATATAGGGTTACCCACAAAGGATGAGACTTCAGAGACGATTGTACGGAAATTATACTGTCTGTTTCCTTATATTCATGATTCCCTGAAACTGTTAACTTATTTCTTTCTTTGCCAAATCATATAATAAGCTATTAAAAGGCTATAATCAAAGTAGAAAACTTAATTTAACCTTGGGATGGTCATATTTTAAGAGTTTTATGTCGTCTTGACAGTCTCATCCTTTGTTGGTAACCCTGTAGCTGTAAAATGAAAAGGTTGACCCGAGATTTTTGACCCCCTTAGATGACAGTGAACTGCAATTTACCTTAATTATGAAAGAGACTGTAAAGGAAAAATGAAAGGGGGTATAGGCTGAAAGCTTATAACTTTAGCTCTTGATCGCGACCCATGAAAGTTTTATCTTTTGTTCCTGTCTCGAGAAATTGATATAAAACTGTGTTAAAATTATACGAAAATTCATATATGTAAAATTTTGAAAATCTGAAACTTAAATCACGTGACCAGAACTATCACCAATGGCAGAGCAGTATACTGGTCACGTGTCTCCGCCAGTATCACGTGACCACTTTACTGCTTTGTTATTGGTGGAATTTCTGGTCAAGTAATACGGACTTATAAATAATATTATGAATTAAATCTATTAAAAATAGAAATAACAAATATAAAATTAGAATTGGAGTAAACGAAGTTACAATTAGCTTTCTCTGGGATATCATCGTTTTCAGATTGGTTGCTTACTTGCTGAATTTGATCTATCTAAACCCACTACTTTTATACAAAATTGTAAATATATATTAATTTTCGTATAAATTTGACAAAGTTGTATATCAATTTCTCGAGATAGGAACATCAGATATAACTTTCATGGGTCGCGATCGAGAGCTAAAGTGATTAGCTTTCAGCCTATACCCCCTTTCATTTTTCCTTTACAGTCCCTTTAAGCTGAAAGATAAGCTTTTTTTCCGCGAAGAGTGAATGCATCTCTTTAATCTACGAAACGGGTTGTCAGGCTTATGTAATACATACTCAAACACTCTGCTTTATTATAAAGATTAATTTGTGTAATGTTTGCCACTCCTCCAGTAGATTAATTTGTATTCTGCAGTGCAAACATTTATTAATTAATTTAGCAGTTTTTTATGAGTTGTAATATTAATAGGACTATCAAACAAGCTTTTATAATTTTATGAGTTGTAATATTTATAGGACTATCAAACAAGCTTTTATAATTTTATGAGTTGTAATATTTATAGGACTATCAAACAAGCTTTTATAATTTTAGAAGTTTTCAAGAATTTCTTTTCAATAATTATGGCAAGGTAATTACGGTGTTCTTAGAAAATATATTCTGGTACATGTTATGTTAGGACAATGTTTATTTAGTAACAATAATGCAAGATATATAATATAAGTTTCTATAAGCATATCATTTTTCAGAAATCTATACAGCCCAAAAAACATTTTAAAAGCTCAAACTTAAAGATTATTTATTTTTGAGTCAGAATTTTTTGGATTAATCTGATCTTTCATGATTCTTACTTATATTGATAAAATAAAATAAAAAGTTCGTTAATAATGTTTAAACTTTTAGATTTCAAAAGATAAAAAATTTTCACAAATTTTAAATGATTTAAAAAAATCATTTTAACGTTTTATATATTAGTCTCTTTAAATATGTTTATATTTGAAAAAAATGGATCATCCGCCCAAACTCAAATACAAATTTTTGAAAGATCTCATTTAAGAAATTGAGTTTTTGCCACACACTCTGATTTTCTAATATTATATCTTTGGAACCCAATGTCGTAGAACTTAGATATGTCGAATTATTTATTCCGGAAAGAAAAAGGGAGTAATAAATCTAAGTTAGTGGCAATGACTCAATTTCCCTGACCCCATATTGATCAATCACAAAAATATGAAGATACCTGAATAAGTGCATATACTTGAGATGAAAAGTGAAAATTTAAGATTAAGAAATTATTCACAGAATCAGGTCTTTGAATCTAGATTAAATTCCGAATTTAAAGAATTTGAGCTGCGTCTCAAAAATTTAATACGCGGCTCAGTCCAATTAATCCCCCCTTCTCTCTGACTGCAAAAAGTTTTGAACTTTTAAACTTTCATCTTCAGGTGTATTCGCTACCATCACTTCCCCTCCTATCCCAAAAAAAAACTATAAAGAAAAACTGGACTATTTGTTCAGACAGTAAAGGGCGCATCTTTCTTGACAGGTTACCTTTTATAATTCAATTTATAATTATCTTAATATTAATAAAAGAAAAGCATCAATATGGAAATATTGAAATAGAGAACAAACACGTATAATGCAAAATAGAGAACAAACACATATAATGCAAAATAGAGAACACACACGTATAATTCAAAATAGAGAACAAACACATATAATTCAAAATAGAGCAGTTAAAAAAGAATATTTTGTAGGGATGGGCAACTGTTCCGGTATATACTGGATTATTTGAGAAATGGTAGATTAAGCCTACCTGCTAATTTTCAGGTAAAAAATCCCAAAAATCGTCTTATCATCGTAAAAATTATTTCTCGAATTGAAATGATACTTGCAAAATCAAATTTGAAACCTGAAATTGAAGCTGTCCTTCTCAAACTAGCATTTCCAATTTCTGTATTCTTTTCAGGACGGGAGGGGGGGGGGGCACGGTTTACTGGGTTTAAAAAGGTCCATCTCAAAATTCAACCATGATGAGCAGTTGCAATTCAAATATTTTGTAGTGTTTTTAAGCATAACTTTATATTCTCTATATAAAAAACTGGTAGCCTCAGGATATTCTTTTATAAAAAATCTCAGAAACACTCTAGTCCAGGAAGAAGGGTTAAGCCTTAAATTCTTTACTTTAACTTCTCGGCGGAATTCTTGGTTTAAAAAGGTCCCCCTGGAGTTGATCCTGTGTACGCCATGCTTCCTTCTATTGTATTGTTAGTCCTATTGTATTGTTAGTCTACTTGTGAAGTATGCTTGTATAAGATCTAGCTTCTGCTCAGAGCATGAATATAATATGAGAGTAGAGATGGAAACAATATCTATATATATATATTTATAGATGTATGCATGTATCTACAGGGTGTCCAAAACTTTTTTGAACACATCCGTACAAAAATCCGTACATTTTCAGAAGAAATCCGTACAATCCGTACAATTTTCGAAAAACAATCCGTACAATCCGTACAATTTTTTTTTTAAAAATCCGTACAATCCGTACATTTTTTAAAACTAATCCGTACATTTTTTTAAAAATCCGTACATTTTTTTAAAATATCTGTACAATCAGTACAATTTTCGAAAAAAATCCCATTTTTGAAAAAAAACATTAAAATTCAATTTTTCATTCATTGTCCTTTGTGTTTAGTTCATGTAAGAGGGTTTAAACTTCTTCAGCTAGAATCAATCGGTAAAACTGTACAAACTAAATACTGGGTACATGATACTAGGTGCATGATACTGGATACTGGATTCATGATACAGGGTACATGATACAGGATACAGGATACTGGGTACAGGATACTGGGTACAGGATACTGGGTACAGGATACTGGGTACAGGATACTGGGTACAGGATACTGGAACATCTTGAATAAGCAATCAAATAAGTACTTATGGAACATATTCTCAAATAAACACTTCTTGGACATATCTCGAAAATTATGAATGAATTTTCATTGTCAATTGAAACATTAATCAATCTAATATTATTTAGAATGCAGAAAATAAGTTAAACTAACTTCATTTTGACGAGAATTTTTTTTTATTTTCATGAAAAATTTGCTGAAATGAGTGAAAATTTTAAAAAAACGGTGTATTTTCCAGGATAAAAATCCGTACAATCCGTACAATCCGTACAATTTTAGGGTTAAAAAAAAATCAATCCGTACAATCCGTACATTTTGGCCACCCTGTATCTATATATAGGAAATAATAGGATTTAGTTTACACGAAACAATCCATGATTAACTTTATACGACAGGATACAAATGAACATACAAACATGCTTTTACAAATTGCATTTCAGAAATAATCTTTTTCCGTTCTTTTATAAAAGATTTAAATACGTACTAAACAAAATAAATTTTTGCCACAAGCTATGATTTTTTAATCCCCTATATCTCTGCACCTTGAACCGTAGAACTTTGATATTTCAAACTATGAATTCTGTAAGATCAAATATTTTCAGTTTGAAATATCAAAGGTTTACACCATCAGGTTGCAAAGATAAAGGGATAAAAACATAGAGTTTTTGGCAAAAACTTAATTCCGTTATTAATAATTCTTTGGACAAAGTGATTAATTATTTCTAATCAAAAATATTTCTAACCTTGCTATGTCTAGAAGGAAGGAGAAGGAAGGAAAAGGAAGGAAAAGGAAGGAGAAGGAAGGAGAAGGAAGTAGAAGGAAGGAAAAGGAAGAAGAAGGAAGGAGAAGGAAGGAGAAGGAAGGAGAAGGAAGGAGAAGGAAGGAGAAGGAAGGAGAAGGAAGGAGAAGAACGAAGATAGAAAGAGAACATTTTAAGTTTTGAAGTTGAAGTTTAAAATTTTTTTTTGAAACATCTATTAGGCTTGTCTGAAGATTGCCGGGTTGTTCGCATGTTTGTCTCAAATATACATAAAAATGGCAGATCCCAGCAAAGTTTACAAATGGACCTAAAAATCTAAAAAATTTGTGGGTTTTTAAATTTAAAATTATTATTGATAAGGAGTGTGGGAGTTTAAGGACTGAAGCAGAATATTTCTCTATCCAAGGTTTGGTTTATCATCTCTCTGATTTAGCACTAGGACTTGGATCAGGTAACATCGGTCTCATGCTTTCAAAACTTTCCAAAAAATTAGATTTTTTGATTTATTTTGATCATAAGCAAAATTTAAATTATTCACAATTTCAACTGAAATATTTTTCCTATCGACATAAAATGCTCAAAAACAAATTGAATAAAAGTTAAAATGTAAAAAATTAAAAATGTAAAAATGTTTGAGTTCGAATGCATAAACTGCGGAAAAAACCTTGGGTTTCAATTTAAAAGTTAAATGATAAATGATGATGATATATATTCAGTTGTGTAGATCTATAATGTACATCAACATGGCGTCCTAATAAACAATAATAATTTAATCATTCAAAACATTAATTGAATCCTATTTCTGAAATATTGAAAGAAAAGTTCTATATGATTGTTTTCAGGATTACTGACTCCCAGGAAGAAACGTCCTTCTGCTACTGATATGTCAGGAACTAGTGGGGGTCAGGTCAGTATCTATATTCTCATTTCTCAATATATATAATTTACTTATTTCTCTTCCCATATCCTCTCCCTCCCTTTTCTCTATATTAACCTAAACCTCCGATCTTTTACTCTATTACCCACCCCTCAGAATAAATATTCTGAGACCCACCCCTTAGAATATTTATTCTGAGACCTTCCCCTCAGAATATATATTCTGAGACCCACCCCTCAGAATATATATTCTGAGACCCACCCCTTAGAATATATATTCTGAGACCTTCCCCTCAGAATATAACTTATCCTCCTCTATAGTCTCTCTTATCCTCCTCTATAGTCTCCCTTATCCTCCTCTATAGTCTCTCTTATCCTCTTCTGTATTCTCATGTCCACTTCTATTAGTTCGGAGTTTAAGTAGAATTAATGATAATACTACCTTCTAGGTATTCTCATACATATATTACTATCCCATACTCAGGAAAAAAAAAATCTTATATCTACAAGTTTTTATATGTCATTGCAGCGTATATAAAAATGCTAAACTATGTATTACTAGGAAAAATTATTTCATTCTTCTTTATTCTATTTCTAAAAGAATAAAATGGTTTCAGAATCCATAACCTATAGTTCTTTTAATAAATATATAAATCAAACAAATAAATTAAAATTTAGGATTAAAAATTAAAATTTAGGATATTAAAGAAAGATAATTTTTTCAGGGATATATTGTGGTTGGATACAGAGGTACATTTGCCTTCGGTCGGGATATGTCAGATATCAAATTCAGGAATAGTTCCATCAATCAAGTTTATATTTATCAACAACTGATCCAATTTCAGAATTTTTAAAACTTCAAACAATTGAATAAAAAGCGAGAATCCGACTAAAATTCACTAAACATACAGCTTTCGCACACTTCTACTTTAAGATAATTTTAATTTGCAATCATTGTTTTGGTGTTGAAAGTATAAATTTTCTGATGTATGTGATTTTTTTTTGTGCAAAAAATTTAGATTTCTTTAAGAACCCATTTCTAATATTTGCTGATTGACCGCGTGTTTCTGAGGTTTAGGAAGTTGACCAGAATCCTAGTTCATGGCAAGGTTACTCTCTGCAGGGAGGTTTTCAAGGTTTGTTCTTCAGCATTAAAATAACAATAAATATATCAATTATAATACTAATGATAATAATGAAAATATCGAAAATAAAAATAAAAATAATAATTATTGTAATGAAAAGAGTAATACTATTAATGATATTAATAATAAGAGAAAGGGGCTTGTTAACAATCTTTGATTTTGTTAACAACGTAAAAAGTTTCTCACTTCTCAGCTGCAGTGTTAAATGTAAACAACCAATTGGTAATGATAACAATGATAATAATAGTAAAACATTACATTTTTTCACGTTGGATAAATATTAAAGGAAATGAAAAATACTAGGACACCCTGAATGATAGCAGAGACCCTGACAGAGGAATGAACAACGATAGATATACATCCAGGTATGTACTGTATTGTACGGCACTAGTGTACTGTAATGTAATGTACTTTAAGCCTATGCATTGTACTGTACTTTACGTCTATGCATTGTATTGTGCTGCATTGTACTATATTATGCATTAATTTATTGTGCTGCGTTGTACTATATTATACATTACTTTACTGTGCTGCGTTGTACTATATTATACATTACTTTACTGTACTGCGTTGTAATATATTTTACATTGATTTACTGTGCTGCATTGTACTATATTATGCTTTACTTTCCTGTACTGTATTAAACTGGACTTTACAGTACTCTCTACTAATTGGATTTTTCTGTACTGTATTGCCTTGAACTGTACTGTTCTGCACTTTACTGTTCTATACTTTTCTGTACTGCATGTTCAATACTGTACTGTTCTTTAATTTCTATAATATTCAATGCTGCACTTTTCTGTACTTAACTGTACTGTCCTATGCTGCACTGCAACATAAATGCAGTGGTACGGCACGGGACGACAAAAGACTCTAAATTAAAAATTTTGAAAGTAATAAGATTAACTTTTTCAAATTAGTAAAAAGAAAGATAAAGATAAATAAATTTATAAAACAGGGATGAAACCATAATGAATCATTTTAGAATAAGAAAAGCAAAGCATGTTGATTAATAGCGTATGTTCAGTCAAATAAACAAATGTCTAGATGATGATGTATAATATAAATGCATATTTTACACGCTACATCTATCATAATGTTTTATCATCTTCACAAGAATCATAAACATAAGACAAGAATCATAAATACAAGACAAGAATCATAAACACAAGACAAGAATCATAAACACAAGACAAGAATCATAAATACAAGACAAGAATCATAAACACAAGACAAGAATTATAAATACAAGACAAGAATCATAAAAAACAAGACAAGAATCATAAACACAAGACAAGAATCATAAACACAAGACAAGAATCATAAACACATGACAAGAATCATAAACACAAGACAAGAATCAGACACACAAGACAAGAATCAGACACACAAGACAAGAATCAGACACACAAGACAAGAATCAGACACACAAGACAAGAATCAGACACACACCAGACAAGAATCAGACACACAAGCCAAGAATCAGACACATAAGACAAGAATCAGACACACAAGACAAGAATCAGACACACAAGACAAGAATCAGACACACAAGACAAGAATCAGACACACACCAGACAAGAATCAGACACACAAGCCAAGAATCAGACACACAAGACAAGAATCAGACACACAAGACAAGAATCAGACACACAAGACAAGTATCAGACACACAAGGCAGGAATCAGATACACAAGACAAGAATCAGACACACAAGACAAGAATCAGACACACAAGACAAGAATCAGACACACAAGACAAGAAATAGACACACAAGACAAGAATTCGTGTATTGTTAATATTTCATAATATTTGATTTTTTAAAAATAATTTTCGCTGGCGCTGGATTTTCGAACATTCCTGGAAAATATGAAAATGTCGTCTTCATTATCAAAAATCCTCGAGACAAGAATAAATGATTTCAAAAGTAACTCTGAGATCATGAAAAATACAAAATTTAATGAAATATCAACTATTTACGAATTCATCGAAAAATAATCGATGACTATTGTTTGTAATATCTAAATGATTTGTTTGGAATTAAATTGATTTGTTTACTATCCGAGTTGAATGTTGCATCTTTCTGAATTTGTATGGACACTACGTTCTTCGGTATTAGTCGTTTTTAACAATTTTCTCCATGTAGACGCAACAGATAGAAGTAAGATTAGTAGCGATCAAAAGCACTTTTTATCGCATTAAGCCTACACCCCCTCTCATTTTTCGCGAACACTCCCTTTAAGATAATTCTCCTTTGTCACCCAGTTATGTACTTAAAAAGCAGTTTTTAAGTGATTAGTAAAGTATTTAATTAAAAAATTGAATTATAAATCTCCAGCGATACCATTTCTAACCAATATTTTTTAATTGTACTGCTTGCTGCACCTCTGCCGGAAATTTAATAGAATATCGTTGAATGAAACTCACGAATTTCCTTTTGTGAGAGTTATTGTGTTTATTTAAGAAATTAAAAAACAAAATAGAATATTAAGAAGAAACCAAATATAATTATATTTCGTAACAACAATATTGGTTGTTACAAAACCAAAATATTAGTAGTTACATAACAAAAATATTAGTAGTTTCATAACAAATATATTGGTAGTTACATAACAAATATATTGGTACTTACAAAACAAAAATATTGGTAGTTACAAAACAAAAATATTAGTAGTTACAAAACAAAAGTATTGGAAGTTACAAAACAAAAATATTGGTTGTTACATAACAAAAATATTGGTAGTTACAAAACAAAAATATTAGTAGTTACAAAACAAAATAATTGGTTCTTACTAAACAAAAAATATTGGTTGCTATAAAAAAATATATTGGTAGTTACAAAACAAAAATATTGGTAGTTACAAAACAAAAATATTGGTAGTTACAAAACAAAAATATTAGTAGTTACAAAACAAAATAATTGGTTCTTACTAAACAAAAAATATTGGTTGCTATAAAAAAATATATTGGTAGTTACAAAACAAAAATATTGGTAGTTACAAAACTGCTAATCTTTTTTCATAAAACCGGGTTTCCAATAATGGGTCCTATATATCATCCAACGACTGTAATTTCATTAGCATACGGCAATTAGTATGTGTTTTAACATTACTATTAAAGTCTAAATTTATAAATTAATCATAGTTCAACATATACCCCTTCATTATTCGTAAACAGGCCTTGTATGAAATATTATAATTTGAATCTCTGTCCCCATTCTGACATTTACATAAAAATATAGTAAAGGAAATGGCAAACGTAATTTGATGTAATCTCGGCCGGATTTAAAACCAATTGAGAGATTTACATCGGAAACATTCATACACACATTTCATTCGTTTCAAGGTCAAAGACTCCATGTATTTATATATTTATAAAGTTTTTAAGAATCTGAAAATTAAAGACAATTATACAATTATACCTCAGATCAAGTAAATTACTCACTTCATATCAAATCTAAGACATTTTTCCATATATTTTCTTATTTCGCTACACGGTGCCACCTGCAGACTTTTCAAATATAAATATTTGATTGGGAAATGTTTGTTATGAAAGAATTGCTGATGGATTTTGCATTATTAATAAGATGCATTAAATTTCTTCAGAAATATTTGAAAACAGAGTTTAAACGTAACTAGAAGGGACCCTATATGTAAAATGGGGAATGTCCGATTCACATCAATATCAGCAAATATTTTGTTTGTTTTGAAAACTGATTACTTTCATTTATAATAATTGACTTGTACATTTCTTCTTAAAAGCAAAAGAGAAGTTAGCAGAATTAAACACTTTTAAGCAAGGAAAATGACGACAAATTCCACATTATTCATCAGATTAAGGTTTCAAGGGTACTGTTTGGAATCAGCCATGTCTCTCTATTTTTAAACGTTTACCTAAAATAACGACAAGTAGCCCCTTAATTCCCGTGGGTGAGTTAGATGGTTAAAATTTGATTTCTGTAGGTTGGAGTGTTAAACATGAAATGTGAATTTTAAATTCTTTTTTATTATTTTGTAAATTTAGTTATTGTATATATAGTGATATAATTAAAATAACTAACAAAATCTAACTACTCTCTATAAAGCATGAAACATATTGTTTATGAATCAAATGTTGGAAGAAGATTGTTCCGTTTTCACTGATATCCTCTCTTTATATACAGGGTGTCCCAAAAAACATGGGAATTCAGTGACGAATTCGATATCGTCTTTGTTATGAATCAGCATTGTAATACCTAATTTCAAAAGCCATAGTATTATTATGTCTGCTAGAGTTTATTTTATGAAAAGGGTAAAAGACTGTAAAGATGTGTCTAAAATGTCTCCGCAAGATGAACAGTGAAGACGGACAAGTTTACTCTGTTTGTATACTGCAATTTTCTTGTTTTACTAAGTACAACTGTATGCAGTCAAAACACAAACAAACAAAATTTAAACATAGCAGACGAAACCCTTACAGATTACAGCTTTCTCAGTAGGTATCACTATACTAAATCAAAGAATTATCTAAAAAGACGATATCGAATTCGTCACTGAATTCCCATGTTTATTGGGATACCCTGTATATATACTATCTGTCCAGATTTATTTAAATTTTTAAAAGTCGTCTTAAAAGTTTTTCATGTCTTCATTTTTTTTGATACAAGGACCAACAATGATTCATAGGTCGTCTTTTAATTCCCAAGTTTATTGTGACAAATCAAGGTTTTTCAACTTGAAATTTTTTAAATTATTATTTTTTATTATTTTTTTATTTGTATATTTTAGATATTACTTGAAGCACACAGTTCTTGAGCATGCCTTTGACCAACTCTGTGAAGCAGGATTCAGGTTTGAAAATATAGAATTTTTAAATCTTATTTTTGTCTTCGAAAAAATCTTGTAAAGTCTTTGATTTATTTAATGTTTGTAAATGAAAATGAAAATTTGTTATGCGCACAGTTTTAAATTCAATAATAAATACAATATGATGGTTTGCAATTGAGGTACAGTGTACATGTATATTCTAGGATGGTTGGTAGTTGTGGTACAGTGTACATGTATATTCTAGGATGGTTTGTAGTTGTAGTACAGTGTACATGTATATTCTAGGATGGTTGGTAGTTGTGGTACAGGAACTTCAGCTCCTACAGCAATACAAGATCTTAAGCCTGGTCAGGTATAAATTACAACACCTTTTAAATTTAGTGATGAGTAGGCTTTTAGGGCTCTTCGCGCCCATCTTTTATTTAAATTGTGAATGTGTTCTTTTTGTTTACATATCATCAAAACAAAGAAGAAAAAAATTTTGCGGATTTTTAAAAAAAATTCGCGGATTTTCAAGAATTTAAATTCTTATACAAAATTAAAAACCTTTAAAACACATTTTTTTTATTTTTATCATTCATTAACCATCCCTGTGGTCACGTGATGTCCCACAAAAAATTTGGGCCCGATCGGTTCAGCCGTTTTGACGTTTATTGGACACAAACAAACAAATAGACACCCAGACAGACAAGCCAAATTTTTATTGTTAGTCGTTCTTTGAGACTAACTTTTGAAATCAGGTATTACAATGCTAATTTATAAAAAAGACGATATCGAATTCGTCACTGAATTCCCATGTTTATTGGGACACCCTGTACTATGATAACTAATTTTACGAATGAATACGCATAAAAGAAAATGAATTTAAATTCCCGATTGTCTTTATAGTTTCATCTTTATTGGTGAACTCTGTACACGTATACTAACAACAAAGTGGTTTTTTAAGGGCACTTTCGACTTATCTTCAAGTGACCCTCAGTTTTAAGAGTTGAAAGCCTGATTTACAACTGTACCATTGTACTTTAAGTAGAACTTTAAATCTTACCTTAACTATGAGAAATCCACTTTTAAAAGATGTCTTAATTGAAAATAAAGATTTGCATACATTTTTTGTGAAAAATATTTGTGGGGCACTGATGTGTATCATGTTATTCTAGGTTTCAATAGAAGACCAGTGGAATCATTACAACGAGTTCGTTTTTGTCCGAGATGATCCAAACAGGTTGGATACAAGGTTGGAGGGATAGGGTAGATACTGGATACAAGGTTGGAGGGTTAGGGTAGATACTGGATACAAGGTTGGAGGGATAGGGTATATACTGGATACAAGATTGGAGGGATAGGGTAGATACTGAATACAAGGTTGGAGGGATAAGGGTAGATACTGGATACAAGGTTGGAGGGATAGGGTAGATACTGGATACAAGGTTGGAGGGATAGGGTAGATGCTGGATACAAGGTTGGAGGGATAAGGTAGATACTGGATACAAGGTTGGAGGGATAGGGTAGATACAGGATACAAGGTTGGAGGGATAGGGTATATACTGGATACAAGGTTGGAGGGATAGGGTAGATACTGGCTATAAGGTTGGAGGGATAGGGTAGATACTGGATACAAGGTTGGAGGGATTGGGTAGATATGGATACAAGGTTGGAGGGATTGGATAGATACAGGATACAAGGTTGGAGAGATAGGATATTTTATTGTTTTCATGGTGTCGAAATGGTTTGGATCGAATAAATTAACAAAAATGAACTGAATTTTAAATCCTTTTTGAGCTATTTGACGTTGTTTAAGAAAAAGAATTTAATAAAACTTTTATAAAGCGCTTAAAGAGGAGTTGAAAGATTTAGAGTGACATTTACGTCTGTTAAAGAACAATCACAAATCCTTAATAAAAGTCTAATTCGTTTATAATTAGTCAAAACACTCGTTATGCCAGTCTAGAAATAACACATGTGGTGGCCTTTGAATATATTAAAAGAAAGAATTTAAAAAAAACTAAAAATATTAAAAAACTTGTGTGTTTAGTTGTACATGCAACAGTACCCTGCTCTTCACTTCTAACGGCCACAGCCCTGTATCTGAGAGGAATGGATAAATCAATTTTAGTCAAATATTTTTCTCTTTTTATTATTGCCAACATTAACAATCCTGAATATGCCAAAACAAAAGTTTTATTTAAAAAATTCTTAATTAAAGAAAAAGTTTTCATTTTGTATCGTTACTTTGTAACAATAAAATTTATTTTGATTTATTCTGCGATTTATAGTAGGAGGGGGAGTTACTTCTAGACAACCTCTCACCACTAGGGTTCAAAGAGTACATAGCGGTTCAAGAACTCATATTGAGGCAGCAACTTTAGACATCTTGGAATAATATAAACCGAGTTTTCCTGTTGCATTTCTGCATTCATTTCAATTCGGAAAATTCAAATTATTACAATCTATATAATATTACATAATAAGTTTGCTAAACCGAACGGATCCAAGTTATTAAAGGACCTGCTATGACCTATACGAGGGTTTACGGCAGTTTGCCTCCAAATATAGTTTTATTTCATATTTTTGTTTGAAATCATCCAAAAGAAAAGAATAAAATCTAAAATTGTAACGCGGAAAATGATTGAAGTTGAAGTAAACATAAAATTTTTAAACAATGAAGAAAGAAATATGTTAAAGTTATTTAAAGCAAACATAAACTATTTTGATATCTTTGAGAACTTACTTCTTTAAAAAATTCATATTTAAAGCTTTTCTATTTCTCTTGATCTTATCCTTTCTTATTATATTAAGAGTTAAAAGTGAACTGATGTAGTAAATAACTGGGTGTTAGGTACTTTCTCAAAGGCATTTTTCCAAGGGCGACTTCCCAAGTGATTATTACTTTTGAAATTTCGCAAGCGGCAACTTCCCAAAGGTTAGGTTAGGCCCTCTGAGGCGCCGCAGGTTGCAATGGGAGTCGAACGCTGCGGCTAGGATGGGCTAGGGGGCCGAGCACCGCGGCTAAAACAGGCTGGGGGCCAAGCACTGCGACTAGGACAGACTTGGGAAGTTGCCGCTTGGGAAATTCCACATTTGGGAAGTTGCCACTTGGGAAAATACCCTTGGGAAGTTGACACTTGGGAAAAATTCTTTGGGAAAGTTCCTAACATCAATAAATGTGTGATTGAAGAATATTTGTACTTCTGGAAGAAACCCAGAATTGTGAAAACTACGTCTTTTCTTTTTTAATTTTCTCCTTGATGGATATCTCATGTTTACAATGTACAGTGTACAGTACACTAATAAGGCATTTAGCACTACTCAGCGAAAAGAAAAAAGAAAAAGATAAAAGACAACTGATGACAAATCTGCGTCTTAATCCTTAGAGTTTATATTAAATAGAGCAAGTCTCAAAAACAAAAAATGACATTTCGTCTTTTTATCACGCAGCATATTTCCGCTAGGCTGTGTTAGTATTTACCTTCGGTGTAAAACAATAGTATAGTTGTGTGCCAGAAAATTGAGTTTTTGAATAATTTTGGAAATATCCATCTAGGACACACAGTAATTGTTTGTTTTATGTTTTGATTTCTCAACTTATTCTTAGTTGTAGTACTCTAGTAGTAGTACTCTAGTAGCAGTACTAGAGTAGCAGTACTCTAGTAATAGTACTAGAGTAGTAGTACTCTAGTAGTAGCACTCTAGTAGCAGTACTCTTGTAGTAGTACTCTAGTAGTAGCACTCTAGTAGCAGTACTAGAGTAGTAGTACTTTAGTAGTAGTACTCTAGTATAGCAGTACTAGAGTAGTAAGTAGTACTGTAGTAGTATTACTCTAGTAGTAGCACTCTAGTAGCAGTACTAGAGTAGTAAGTAGTACTCTAGTAGTAGTACTCTAGTAGTAGCACTCTAGTAGCAGAACTAGAGTAGTAGTACTCTAGTAATAGTACTCTCGGTCCATTGTCTTCTGTTAAACTGACAATATAAAGCTAAATATAAAAGATATTAAGCTAAACATTAGGCCACATATAAACCAAAACCTTAAAAGCTATTTTTTAAGATAAAACAAAACGGATGCAAATATATAAATTCCAAATATGAGGTTATTGATATCGATAAAGTTGAATATAAAGCTAAAATACAGCAAAATTTCTTCAAATTTATGAGTAATTTTTCTCCCCTGTCCACCATTTACATTATTCATCTGTATTCTTTAACATTTGTCCAGTTATGTCCTCTAAATACATTTGCATGGAATACAAATTTGAATGGATTTTATAAATAAATCTTGTTTCACAAGAGGATTTTCTAAATTCCATTTTTAGAATGTTGTTCAAAGTTTAAGAAAACTATTTCTAACTGTAAAGGGGGCTTTCACAACTTTTCACATTTAGGGAAACTCTTGTGAGCAAAGTGAATGAATTCAGTGATATTCTTGAATTCTCTCCATAATGTGGGGAGGGAAGGTAGATCGATATTTTCAATAAGAAATTAAAAATAATGCTGATTTGGAAAAGAGTTAAAAAAAGCAAGTAAAGTATAGTTAGATTAATACGCTAAAGGAAATGGAATATTGTGGAAACAAATAAACAGAACTCCCACCCAAACTCTAACTTTCTAATTCCTATATTTTTGAACCTACTGATGTAAACCTTTGATATTTCAAAACACAATAAATTATTCTTTCAGGGTTCATAGTATAAAATGTTTAAAGGGAGTGACCGGCAATGTATGGTAGTTGAACTAAGAATTTAGTATTTTGAAGAAATTTTTTAGAAATCATCGAGAATTATATGAGACGTTTTTACGGTGCATATTTTTTTCAGCAAGAGCGCAAATTCAATCTTTAAAATCCTCATAGATTGTTTATTTTTGAGAGAAGATTTCGAGAATCGGTTTTCAAAAAATTATTCAATAACGATGATTTTACAGTAAACTAAATGGTTGTTTAGGAACAGGCGGAGAAAACAAAAATTAACTATTATCATCGAAATTAAGTAATCTTATTCAGTTATTGGTTTCTGTAATGTCTCATTGTTCACAAACATTTTCTGTAGATTTCCTGGAATTTTTATTGAAAATACGATACTTGAAGAATTTGAAGAAATCTGCGAACAAACTCATCAAGAATAAGAAATTCAAAATAATGATGAAAAAGAAGTAATTGATTCTAACATTATTTTACTGAGAAAATTTCAATTGAGAAACATGTTCCTAAACACCTAATTATCTTACTGTAGAATTTTTTTTACATTTAATAATCAAACAAAATCGACTCCCAAAACGTAACTACCCAAATGGATGATTTTGAACGTCGACTTTGTGCTCAAACTCATTAATTATACATCATTAAAACGTTTCATGTGTCTCAAATAAAACCTAAAAAGTTTCTCCACAATTTTATATTCTCATTTCAACTACCATATAATGCCGGTCAGTTCCTTTATGGGTTAAGGTTGCAAAGATACAATGATTAGAAAATTAGAATTTGTGTTTTAATTCATTTCCATGACTTTCTCTGTCTTCGCAATAATATGATTCTGAAAAACACAAGGTTATGTGTCAAACAAGAGAAACCCTTTTTTTGTTTACAATCGAAGTAGATAAACTGCATTTTCTGTAAAAAAAGTTTACGATTCACTTTTTTTGTAGAAGATTCTTCTGTATATTCAACTGCATTACACTTTTTTTGTAAAAAAATATGGTTGGAAAGGGCTCTTCTGTTTTTATCTATTTTTTCTTCAGTTTTTGATAAATCTGATGTATTTGAATAAATGTAAATGTAAAAAGTAAAGTAAATAATCTAAGAAAATCAAATGATTGTGATGGTATCGTATATATGATATATAGTATCCTATTTCCCCAGAAATATTATAGGAAATAAACAGAAAAATACAGCTTTTTATTTTTATATTATCAATTTTTAAAAAAGAAATTTTCTTCAAAGAAATTTTCTTAATGTTACATTTACATTTGAGTTTATGAATCCGAGGTTAAAAGCATCAAGTAGAAATTTAAATCATATTTATTTTTTATTTATCTATTGAGAGAAGATTTTTGAAATACTTACTTTACAGATTTTGATACGATTTTTAACATGGCATAGGTTGTTCTTTCGCAAGTGCAAAACATTTTCATTGGGAAGAGAATCTTTTAAAATTATCATTGGTAACCTTTCAATTGAAATGGCTTTAGAGTCCAATCAAATAAATTACCATTTGAACTCTTGATACATTATCTTGCATTACATTCATTGAAAACTATTGTATTTTATATCATAGAAACCATGTAAAATCAAATATCAATGAAGAACTATCAAATCTAATATCATCGGAGAACTATCAAATTTAATATCATTGGAGAACTATCAAATCTAACATCATTGGAGAACTATCAAATCTAATATCATTGGAGAACAATCAAATCTAATATCATTGGAGAACTATTAAATCTAATTTCATTGCAAATCTAATATTATTGGAGAACCATCAAATCTAATTTCATTGCAGAACTATCAAATCTAACATCAATGGAGAACTATCAAATCTAATTTCATTGCAGAACTATCAAATCTAATATCATTGGAGAGCTATCAAATCTAATATCATTGGAGAACTATCAAATCTAATATCATTGGAGAACTATCAAATCTAATATCATTGGAGAACTATCAAATTTGATTTCATTGCAAATCTAATATTATTGGAGAACTATCAAATCTAATATCATTGGAGAACCATCAAATCTAATATCATTGGAGAACTATCAAATCAAATATCATTGGAGAACTATCAAATCTAATATCATTGGAGAACTATCAAATCTAATATCATTGGAAAACTATCAAATTTAGTATCATTGGAAAACTATCAAATCTAATAAAATTGGAGAACTATCAAATCTAGTATCATTGGAGAACTATCAAATCTAGTATCATTGGAAAACTATCAAATCTAATATCATTGTAAAACTATCAAATTTAATATCATTGGAAAACTATCAAATCTAATATCATTGGAGAACTATCAAATCTAGTATCATTGGAGAATTATCAAATCTAGTATCATTGGAAAACTATCAAATCTAACATCATTGGAAAACTATCAAATTTAATATCATTGGAAAACTATCTTTTAACCATAACACTGCAAGCTATATAGAAGGAGAGGGCCAAAGGAATTGAGTCTTTGGAACAAAATCCAATATTTAAACCTCAATATCTTTAGAACTCTATGTTGCAAACCTTTGATATTTCAAACTCAGATTATTTGATCTAGCAGAATTCATAGTTTGAAATATCTAAGGTCTGAAAACATTTGGTTCAAAAGATATAGTGATTAGAAAATCAGAGTTTGTGGCAAAGACTCAATTCCTTTATGAGACATAATGGTATGACTTTGTGATCTCGTAGCTCCTCTTGTTTTGATTTTACGCACAAGTTTGAGAAAAGCTTATTTATCCGGGAACATATCAAACCATTTTTCTTCTTCTTAATAACTAAAGGAGGTATAATTGAAAGCATAAAAGCTTATTTATCCGGGAACATATCAAACCATTTTTCTTCTTCTTAATAACTAAAGGAGGTATAATTGAAAACATAAAAGATTTCAATTTAATTTAGTTTAGCGTAGAAAAGTATTTAACCCATCTCTTACAAATCCATAATTTTAGTTTTGTTATTTATTCAGGAATAAAATAATCACAGAAGCTGGTTAATAATATATGCTGTACTGCTCAACTGTGTACACACTGTACATATGAAATATATATTTTAAATTATAAATACATGTTTATAAGATTGACTATTTTTAAATAAATGACTACAAATGTTACAATAATCCCCAAATTATCAAATAATCTCTCCACAATCAATATAAATTAAAATATGGATGTAAAAAGTTATGCTTGCCAATAATGTAATGCACAACTTTAATAAATAAAAGTTGCCATTTTACTAAATCATTGTATGGAAATAAACGGAAAATATTTGCTTTAGATATAAATCACGACATTTAAACAGTATTGCACAGATACGTTTGGAATCGTCTGACATATTATTCTTTAAATTTGAAAATCTCTGATTCGATCTTGACGTTAAAATATTCATTTTACTCGTTCAGGTTAACTTTGCTATTTGCTTTTCTTAGTAAACCTCTCCAAGGCATTACAGGGATAACATCCCCGCCATCCCTTTTCTCCGATACATTGTCTCTTTCTCCTGCTATTTCAAAAAACGCGGGAGATGTACTGCGTGACATGTCGTCTTCGCTTTCTTCCAAAATGGCAGAAAATCCTGCGGAATCATCTTGGGGGTCCTTTATTTTAGGTGCTGTGTAATAATTCCTAAAAAAAAATCTGTTAAAACTACTTTTATCTTGAATTTTTTGGGTAACATATTGTGCTTATGTATAAACAAAATCGCATGCAAACTGTTTCGAACAAAGAATTAGTGCGTATAACATTAATCTACTGAGCAAGGTTACATTTACGAACTAGTCTACAATTTACATTTGAAATACACAATTATCATACATTATCATAAACATCGGAAAAAAATCTTTAACAAAGTAAATTATATATCATATACAAGAGTCGACATTATTGAGTAGGTCAAAACAGTATAATTTAACACAAATTAAATGATTCAGCCTAGTGTCGTTAATTAAATCAGGACTCTTCCAGCACTTTTCTGAAATAGAAATAACAAGATTAAAATTGAAGAGAAAATATAAAATAAGTTATCCAACCTTAGCTCTGAATATTGTGTAGTACTATCCTTCCATTCAATGATTTGGAATAGGCTTGAACCTGACCCATTTTCTAGACAAATTAAAAATAATTAAATTATAAGTTAAATTAAATAAGTTAAAAACAATTATCAATGATCTTTTTAAAAGAAAAGTTTTGAAGTAAAGCTCTTTACTTGGTTTGTGTATATCCGTGTATTCAACTGTAGCTCTAAAAAACAGAAAAATGTATAAAAACATATAAATATATTTATAGCAATTATACATGATGAGTATTGACTAAAATGAATTAAAGACGTGATATCCTCTGAAGAAGAATGGGATGTACGATTCACAACGATACACTTTAAACCTCTATCTGAGTAAATATCAGGAAGTAAAAGTAGTTTTTCTCTTTTAAAACGTCAGGAATTCTAAAGGTTGCTTCTCTACAACATAAATTGAATATCTGCGACTATTATTACTGATTTGTAGTGAAGATACCCTGGATCAATGGAGGGTCGTTTGAAATTACCTCTCTAGTCCCTTTCATTATATTTTTGCTTGTAAGTTAGTAAAAAAAGAATTTAAAAAAGAAAAAGTTTTATTCAACTCTTCTTGAAACTAATTTCAACGTGATAAGAATTCCCACCGAGTATAAAATTCTGTTAAATTAGAAATTTCTCGGAATTTTCTCCCAATAAAACTAAATGAAAAAAGTTCAAAAAGTTGAATATTGTATTTTTATCTTACTTGATGGAAGCAGGGGGTACTGTTCTTGTCCCTAATATAAAATATATTGTTAAGTTAACTCCAGGGGTAATTTTATATATTTTTTTTCTTCATTTATCTTTAATATTTTAATATTTGACACCTTTAGTTTCATCGGCGGGAGTTTCAACTTTGATTTTTTCCACTTTTCCTGGTTCTGTAATTCTTCCTGTTCTCAATGTGCCTCCTGTTTCTTTTGCTCCTCCTGTTCTTGTGGCCACTATTTTTTCTTTTGCTACTACTGCTCCTGTTGCAACTCCTGTTTCACCGTTTTCTTTGAACAGTTCCTTTGGTTTGGCGAAAACAACATCCTTCTCCTCGCTACATCAACATAGCATTATTTTTTATCTTTTTTTTTCTAAACTCTCGTCACAAAACTTTAAACTTTCCTAACACGATTGGGAAACCGTTTATATTTCGAACTTTGACTCATGGATTAATAACAATACAGATAGAACACTAGATGTCGTCTTTTCAAGATTTAGGGGTTTTTCATTCATAATAACCCTGAGGCAGAAGCCCAAAGGAGTTTCGCGCATACTTTCTCTCTGTCTTGCCATTCAACCCGGCATGCACGTAACTCCTTTGGGCTTCTGCCTCACAGTTATTGTGAACGAAAACCCCTAATTCTTAAAAAGACGACATCTAGTGTTCTATCTATAATTTTATGCTTCGACTATTTAAGCAGAATTCATGTAAAATATCAAATATCAAAGGTTTTTGATATCAGGTTTAAATAATATAAGGATTAGAAAATAAGAGTTTGAGCTAGATTTTCATTTCTTTTACATTAAAAGTATCTCATAGCTAAGGTTTTCCTGTTAAAATCTCTAGGTTTAGGCAAAGACTCGCCCTTCTTCAAGACCTTGAAAAACATTAGATTAAGATATAAGAGGATGTTTTAATGAAACGAAACAACGAAAATTGTTTGTTATTTTTGGTATGCCTTATAAAATTAAAGCAATTTTAATTTTTACTTTATTATATATTTTATAAATGATTTATCATGATAATTCTAAAATTGATAAAATTCTGAATATTTCTGCACTGTCAGAATTATTCAGTTTGAATAGCTCTTACTATGTTTGAGTTTGAGTATTGGGTCATTATTTGCTCAAGATTTTCTCGAATCGGAGAACTCTCGCTAACTGGTCGCCTCTAAAATATTTTCATCAAGTAATATTAAACTTTAAATAATTATAGAACCATTTCTACGTATATTCTAAACTTGAAAAGAAGAATAAAATGTTATTAATGGATTCTTGAATATCAAATTTTCAGATGGATACCCGGATTTAAACTAATATACGAGATGGATACATGGATATTATATACTAGTTTATTTTAACAATATTTTAAAAATTTATTTTTTATAATTTTTGTAGAATAAAATGGTACGAGGCATAGTTAATAATTTAAAATGTTCATCAATCATCTTTTTTCTCCTTTCTATATGGGATGGATACCTGGATATCAAACAAGTATATGGGATGGAAAGCTGGATATCAAACTAATATATGGGATGGATACCTGGATATCAAACTAGTATATGAGATGGATACCTGGATATCAAACTAGTATATGGGATGGATACCTGGATATCAAACTAGTATATGGGATGGATACCTGGATATCAAACTAGTATATGGGATGGATACCTGGATATCAAACTAGTATATGAGATGGATACCTGGATATTAAACTAGTATATGGGATGGATACCTGGATATCAAACTGCTTCAAATATTCATCTCTCTTCTCGTCAAGGCTAGATAGACGGATTTGAGGTAAACCCTCACTCTAAAATTGTATGTTTAATATTTATAAATATATTTTTCATTCATAAAAAGACATATTGAACCGTATATATTTGATAAACTTAAATAAATTTATGTTTATTTTTACAACAAAAAAATCAAGCGACTTGAAATCTAGTTTCTAAACCACAAATATTTCTTTAGAAATATATTTCTATTCTTTATCTTGGTCACAAGATGAATACAACATTATAATCACGTTGATTGGATGATGAAAGCATAGAAATAAATCTTTTATAAGATCAAGTGTTTACATTTTTAATGTAAACCCTTGCATCCTTTAATGAGATCTGCTAAAGATCTAAGACTTCAGGTTGCAGAGATAAAAGGATTAGAAAATTAGAGTTTCAGGCCAGAAACCATTTTCTTTCATATTTAGTCATTTGTATCTGGAACTTTTGTTGGTCAAAGTGAGAAAAACATAATTCTTAATTTTAGATATATTATTTACCACGGAGCTCCCTTCCTTTGCTTAATTTTAGATATATTATTTACCACGTAGCTCCCTTCTTTTGCTTAATTTTAGATATCTTATTTACCACGTAGCTCCCTTCTTTTGCTTAATTTTAGATATATCATTTACCACGGAGCCTCCCTTCCTTTGTAAATAAATCTCACCTTGGTTTGTATAGTGACCATGCCATTACTCCCAGTAGAAGAAGGTAACATCTGGGTTCCATCCTGCTCCTTAAAGGAATTGTTTGCAAAAACTGAAAGGGATAAATGATAAATAATGATAAATAAATGATAAATGAATAGGTTGGTTTAAAATTATAATTTCCTTACAGAAACATCGGAAAAAATCAAAATGTTATAGACCGTTTTAATTGTGAAAACTCCCTGAAATATAAATATACTTTTATAAAATAAATATTGAATAAGTTTTTTCCTTCTGAATTCAATACAATGCCGACGTATTGCATTTTCTCTATAGTTCAGGGATAAACAGGATTTGCTTAAAGGGAAAGCTCACAAACTTTTAATTATGTACTGGATATTCTCAACATTGTTAATGGACGTCTATTTTTTATTTTGTCTTTGGGCTGCATATGCCCTAGGTGATAAAAAATCATATTTTTTTCAATGATAAAAACTAAATCTAAAGGAAATCAAAACCTTAAAAAATAGAAAAAAAATCCCAAGCTGAAGCAGTATACGGACTAGTTTATGCGAAATGTTTGTGTCACATACATATAGAAAATAGATAGATAGATAGATGTATCAAAACAATCCACTTTTGAATTTTAAATACGAATTGATTGTAAAATTGTAAAAATTATTGTGTTTGAATTGATTTATTTGTATTGATAACATTTCAATTTTTTACTCATGACGTCGTGGAATAAATACTTCAATTCAGTAATTCAGTTATGCCACAAACAATAGATTTTTAGTTCCTGTTCCAACCCGATGTCGTAGACCTTTGTTATTTTTCAAACTATATTTTTAAGATCAAATAGTCTTAAGTTGGAGATAAAATCATATACGTTATCAGGTTGCTATGACATAGGGATTAGAAAATTTGAGTTTATGGCAAAGACTCAATTACTTTACTGTAGGATGTTTGTCACCTTGGTTTGTTTAGCTTGAGTTTGAATAGTAGTGGGTTGGGGAACAGATGCAAATCTTTCATAAATATTCTTCCTGAAGTAATATACTCATATACTTAATTGATGTATTATAGAATAGAACTCATAAAACTGCAGTAAGACGACTGTAAGATTAAAAGTTTGAGTTTAATTCGTCCAATGGACACATGAACAGACCTATTGTTCAGTATACTGTGTATTTATGTAGAAGACATATTAAATATTATTATGTATTTTATGTATTATATAATTTTAGTAACGATATAATATAATGTGCACATTATTTACTGAAAATACTATAAAATATAAATTATGTTTAAATTTATTGGTAATAAAAGTAAGGATATCTGAAGTTTGTAAAATATATGAAGATCTTAATCTGAAAATGAAAGAATACTGGTAAATTTAGGCGTGGGTTCAATATTATTCAAGTTTTCCATCTCAGAGCTAATGTTGGGATAACTTCTTTTAACAATGATTTTCAAATCTCTTTATCTTTGCAACCACATGTCATAAATCTTATATATTTTAAACTATCGAAGTCATGTTAGATCAATTAATCTTTAAGTTTGCAATATCAAATGTTTACATCATCTCAGGTTGCAACGATATAGGGATAAGGTGAGGAAGTTTAAAGGAACTGCATTAATCGTAATTTCAAGTTGCATGTTCTATTCACAACAGAACTCTTTAAAATGTAATCATTCAACAATTAAATCTTATCTTTCAAGAATTTTATCATTTTTAATATCTTTTTAATATTTTTAATATCTAAGGTCTACGACATTGGGTTGCAAAGATATAGGGATTAGAAAACTAACCTCAATTCCTTTACATATATAGTGAAACACAAGCAATTTAAATACAATTCACCTTAAAGTAATTTGCTCTGTTGAATCTTGTCTACCTACAACACTTTCAATAGCTTTCTTCTTCCTAATATGATAGATGCTAATTAGTGATTAGCTAGAACAAATACATTTTCTCTTGCAAAAAGTAAATTAATATTTTCTAGACGTATAATTTCAATATTTTTAATAATTGTCAATATTCGAATAGTGGAACATCATTGAGATGCTTTTAAACGAAGTCAAACCTTATAGAAATCCAACGTATAGAAACCGCAACGTATAGCAACAAGGCGTATTTTCCGGGAGAACATTTTTTATATTTTTGAGAGCAGTTTCTATCCGTTGAATTTCTATAAGGTTTGAATTCCTGTTAAACAAACGAATGAGATTACAAATTTAAAAACATAAACTCATAAATCAATATCTCAGGTATAAGAATGAAAATTAATTTTAAGGAAAATAATTTATAAAATACACTTACTCAAGTTTAGTTTTAATATCAAGGATAGCTTTCTCTTGTTTCTCTCGGACTAAGGTTAAATCTCGAGAAGCTTCCCTTTAAAACATTAAAATGTCAACGGTCTAATTAAATAATTTAATATTTTGTTTTCATTAGATTATAATATTAATAAATTACTTGCTATTTGGGCTTTTCCCTTCGTTCTGCAGAAAATCCTAAAAATATAATAGAGCGTTAATCTACCAAAATATAATAATGAGAAGAGTATCAATCTACCAAAATATAATAATGAGAAGAACATTAATCTACCAAAATATAATAATGAGAAGAACATTAATCTACCAAAATATAATAATAAGAAGAACATTAATCTACCAAAATATAATAATGAGAAGAACATTAATCTAACAAAATATAATAATGAGAAGAACATTAATCTAACAAAATATGATAATAAGAAGAACATTAATCAACCAAAATATAAAAATGAGAAGAGTATTAATCTACCAAAATATAATCATGAGAAGAGTATTAATCTACCAAAATATAATCATGAGAAGAACATTAATCTACCAAAATATTATAATGAGAAGAGCATTAATCTACCAAAATATAATAATGAGAAGAACATTAATCTACCAAAATATAATAATGAGAAGAACATTAATCTACCAAAATATAATAATGAGAAGAGCATTAATCTACCAAAATATAATAAGAAGAAGAACATTAATCTACCAAAATATAATAATGAGAAGAACATTAATCTACCAAAATATAATAATGAGAAGAGTATTAATCTACCAAAATATAATCATGAGAAGAACATTAATCTACCAAAATATAGTAATAAGAGCATTAATCTACAAAAATATAATCATGAGAAGAAAATTAATCTACCAAAATATAATAATAAGAGCATTAATCTACCAAAATATAATAATGAGAAGAACATTAATCTACCAAAATATAATAATGAGAAGAGGATTAATCTACCAAAATATAATAATGAGAAGAACATTAATTTACCAAAATATAATAATGAGAAAAGCATTAATCTACCAAAATATAACAATGAGAAGAGCATTAATCTACCAAAATATAATAATGAGAAGAAAATTAATCTACCAAAATATAATAATGAGAAGAGCATTAATCTACCAAAATATAATGATGAGAAGAACATTAATATACCAAAATATAATAATGAGAAGAGTATTAATCTACCAAAATATAATAATGAGAAGAACATTAATCTACCAAAATTTTATAATTTCCTACTTTAAGCTCTCTCTCCTCTGCTGGCTTAGAACTCCAATTCCTAAATATTAAAACCAATTTGTTCAAAAATGATTTATGGTTTTCTTTCAGAAGATTACAGAACGGTCCTTTTTGGACTGTTCTTGGTTATTGTGAAATAATTTTGATTTAGAACCTATCTTAAAATAATGCATTCGATGCTTTCAAAAGATTCTTGTATTAAAAAAAACAATTTTCTTGTGATTTAAGTGAGTCATAATTTGTCATGTATATTATATGATATTTATAACTTGCAGATGTGTGGGAAACCTGATATACAGGGTTACCGGCAAAGGATGAGACTTCAAAGACGAATGAACGTAATTAGCTTGAACCCTTTTCTCACGTTCATGGTTCCTTGCAGGCAAAAACTAGATTCATTATATTCTAATTATTTAAATACTAAATTTAAGGCAGAAAATCTAAATTGAGCTTCAAATCGGCATGCTTTAGGAGTGGAAGAGTTCTGGGTCGTCATTCCAGTCTCATCCTTTGTGGGTAACCTTGTACTTGTGAATACATCCATTTGAATAAATAAGTTTTAAATTGAAGTTTTTCTACAATAATAAATAGAATAAAACGAAATGAAACTCGCCGTCCTTCAATCTTTAAATAAGAAACGTTGATAAAGTTTCTGTATATTATGGCTGCATAGTATAAATGACAGCTCTCTGAACATGTTTAGGCCCAATTTTCAAAGCTATGACAAAATGCTTAACAATATTTCAAATTAAAAGATTGAATGACGACGACATTATTCCGTGGATTCCCTAAAAGAATGCATGTTAGTAAGACCTGAGCTGAAGTTTGATCTGAGCAATCTTGTTGTTAGGATCAGTAGGATCAGTAGTATCATCCTTTTCAGCCACATGAGTAGGTTCAGGGATTGGAGTAGGAGAAGGTTGAGATGATTCAACTGTATTTCCTTTAGCAATCTGCATTCTTTGTTGAAGTTGACTTTACCATTAAAATCATTTCTTTGAAAATTAGAAAAATACTTTTTACGAGAATTTGTTTAATTTAAAAAAAAAGCTTTAACTATATATCAAATAAATTATTTCCTGATGATTGCGGCTAAATTCTCCCTCTGTCCCGTGGACATTTTAGAATCTGTTCAATGCACACAAAAAATGTTTACAATACTGTATGATAATAAATTAATAAAGTGTATTACTAGTTAACAAAATATATTGTGTTATTAATATTACAATAAAAAACATGCAAACTAACACTCAGCAGTTGAGCTTACCCCCTACAGTCGACAAATTAACTTTTTCTTTCTTTCCAACTCTCTATCATGCTTCACCTTCAACACTCTAGATAAAAATATTCTTATCTTTTTCATTAATCCCGTTCCTCTATAGTAAACATACTTCACAAAACCTTACTTTTCAGGTTTTGTTTTCATGCTAACAAAAATTATATTAAAAATAAACCTTGAAAAAGTTAATACCAAAGATATTCATGCCTTAAATCCGTTTATAATATATGACTAAGTGTAGGCTTAATATGCATAAATGTATACAGTCAACTGTAAAAAGCTAATTTTTCCCTGGGTAAATAAAGATTTTGGATGCAAAGACCTTCACCATCAGGGGCGTCATCATGTATTAAAAAGACCCCCTGGTCTCCATCCCTGAAGTGAAGTCTGTGACGCCCCTGATCTTTATTTAATGCGTGCCATATAAAATACTATTCTGCCATGAAACCAAGGAGCTAAATCTGTTTTTTAACTAATAGATTAATTTATTCATCAATCCAAAATATTGAATTTTTCATTGATCATTCAATTAATCATATAATCAATCATTCTTTGATCTTTTTGATCTTTTCATCAATTAATCAATTGATCTATTCATAAATAAAACAATTCATAAATTAAATAACTAACTATTCAATCAACTATTTGATCAATAAATCAATAAATCTATAAGTCAATAGATCAATAAATCAATTAATTATTCAACTGATCAATAAATTCTGGATCCTAGATTTTACTCATTTTCAATTTGATCAATGTAATATATGTGATAATTTTACCTTTTAGCATCGTCGCCTTTCTTGTCAAGAAGTTGTCGCTTCCAGGCAGGGATAGAGGACAGTCGACGAGCCTCATCTAGTCGAGCCCGCTCCTCTAGAGCATCCGCTAAACATATATTATCCGCTTAACATATAATATCCGCTGAACATATATTATCCACTGAACATATACTATCCGCTAAACATATATTATCCACTAAACATATATTATCCCCTAAACATATATTATCCGCTGAACATATATTATCCGCTGAACATATACTATCCGCTAAAAATATATTATCCGCTGAACAAATATTATCCGCTGAACATATATTAACCGCTGAACATATATCATCTGCTAAACATATATTATCCGCTAAACATATATTAACCGCTGAACATATATCATCTGCTGAACATATATTATCCGCTGAACATATATTATCCGCTGAACATATATTATCCGCTGAACATATACTATCCGCTAAACATAAATTATCCGCTGAACATATCCTATCCGCTAAACATATATTATTCGCTAAACATATATTATCCGCTAAACATATATTATCTGCTAAACATATTATCTGCTGAACATATATTATCCGCTGAACATATATTATCCGCTGAACATATATTATCTGCTGAACATATATTATCCGCTGAACATATATTATCCGCTAAACATATATTATCCGCTGAACATATATTATCCGCTGAACATACATTATCCGCTGAACATATATTATCTTCTCGATTCAAAACAGTACTCTTAAAATCTTTGACTGTTCATCGAGAAGAGAGAGCTTTCTGTTTAAACTTAGAAAACAAGCTTGAACTCCTCTAAAACGCGACTGTACACTGTGTACAGTCAAAACTTAAAGAGACTGTAAAGGAAAAATGAAAGGGGGCATAGGTTGAAACCTAAGCATTTAAGAAGTTGATCGAGACCCATTAGAGTTTTATCTGATGTTCTTGTCTCAAGAAATTGATATAAAACTGTGTCAAATCTATACGAAATCTATAAATATAAAAAAATTTGTTTAAAAATAGTAGGTTTAAAAGTATCATATTCAGCAAATACATAACCAATCTGAAAACAACGATACTCCACAGAAGCCTAAGAAACTTAGGTTTGCTCCTTTCATTATTTGAATTAAATAATTTTTCATTTTTAATAGATATAATTGATAATATAATATATATACGTCCGTATCATGTGACCATAACTCCCTCCAATGACAGTGCAGTATCATCATCACGTGACTCTGTCTGTATCACGTGACCAGTATAGTGCACTGCCATTGATTAGAGTTCTTGTCACGTAATTTTATCAATTACATCTTTTAAATGAAAAATCATCAAATTTAAATAACAATAGAAGCAAACCATAGTTTATTAGGCTCCTCTGGGATATTGTCGTTTTCAGACCGGTTGGTATTTGCTAAATATGATCTGTTTAAACCTAATATTTTTATACAAAATTTTATATATATAGTAAATGAAAAGTCACTGGAAATCACGCTTACAGTCCCTTTAATATTAAAGTTTGTTGTTAAGATGGTCAAAAAACTTGACTTCATCTCATTCAAAAGTTTTCAAGTCCTGGGCTCTCATCGTCAACATAAATGTCAACACAATGTCTATATCGTATCGTTGTCTATATATATTCTTATTGTAAATTGTGTTTGTAGATTACGAACCTTTAGCTTTATCTGCAGCCTTTTTAGCCATCATTTCCCTCTTCCACCGAGGGATTTCATTCCCGAGAGGATCAGTAATAGGGATCTAATAATATATAAAGATAATATAATTATATCTTCATGACATGTATAGGATATGATATACTAGGGTAGGATAGGATCTATGCAGGGTGCGTTGGAATCTTGTAGGATAGGACAGGATAGGAACTAGTAGGATAGGATATGATATACAAGGATAGGATAGGAACTTTTAGGATATGACAGGATTGGATCTATAGAAGGATGGGATCTAGTAGGATATGCCAGGAAAGTATCATAGTAGGATAGGATTGTATAGGATAGGACAGGATATGATATAGAAGGACAGGGTAGGATAGGACCTTGGACAAATAATCTAGTAGGATGGAACAGGATATGATCTAGTTCTAGTAGGAATGGACAAGATTATATCTAGCAGGATAGGGCAGCATAGGGCATGATAGGAAAGGAAAAGACAGGTTTAGGATAGGACTTGATATGATAAGCCTGGATAGGACAGATAAGGATAGGACAGGTTAGGACAGGAATAAATAGGTCAGGGTTGGAATGGATAGATCAGGATAGGACAGGATAGGATATTATAGGAAACGATAGGATTGGACAGTGTAGAATTGGACATGATAGGGTTGGACAGGAGAGGATTGGACAGGATAGGATTGGACAGGATAGGATTGGACAGGATAAGATTGGACAGGATAAGATTGGACAGGATAGGATAGGATAGGATATTATAGGAAAGAACAGATTGGAAAGGATACGATTTGACAGGATATGATTGGGCAGGATAGGATTGGACAGGAGAGGATTGGAAAGGATAGGACAGAATAGGACAGGATGGACCGGGTTAGGACAGGAAAGGATAGGACATGCTAGAAAAGGATAGAATAGACAGTCGGAATAACAAGGGCTTTGAAAAGAAAGAACGAAAGGGTAGACTACAAAATATTGCAAACAGAGCTCTGTACCTTCTTTAGAAAGTTTTCTGCTGTGAACTGTCCTAAAAACTTTCTGTATTGTTCCTTTTCAACTTCTTCCTGGGCCTTTGCCTGAACATTTTAATCATTTCAACGATTTAACGATTACAGTCAATCTAATCGATAATTTTACTTATTTATTTAAATATTTTGTGTGCCACATTTTATCTACATTTTCATAATCACTGTGTCATATTTTTGTACATTTTCACAGTGCTTCTTTTATTGTATTTTATTTACTTATATAATTTGTATGCTGAACTTTAATTTATGAACTAAAAGGTTTTCTCTTCTGCATATTTGCTTTACTCCTGAGACTAAACTAAACAGCTTTACAGTCTAACATTAATTTTAAAATATGGAAGAAAAATGGAGAAACTTAAACTTAAAACATTTTAAACTTCAAACAAAATATTTCTGCGGAAACCACGCAAACGAAATTCCGGGCTAATTTATTCTAATTCTTGGATTCGCCTTAATCCTACTTTTATCTTTGTTAAATTATTCAAATAAAATTCTGGTTCATTTTATTTTATTTTTAAGAAAAAACTGATCTCCGTATTCGTAAAAATAATCGACATTTTGGAAAAAGTTTGATTGCAAAATCATAAACTTTCATTTCTGTTCTTCTTTTAGTTTATTGTCGTTGCATCTATAACTTAAATTTAGAATTTTGTTGAATAAAATAATTATGTCACAATGGAAATGAGTTCTTGCAACAAACTCTTATTTTCTAATTTCTATATCTTTGCAACCCAAACTATGAATTCTGTTAGATCAAATAGTCTAATTTTGAAATATCAAAGGTTTACATCAGGTTGAACAGCTATAGGGATTAGAAAACTTGATTTTGTGGCAAAAACTCAATTCCTTTATTATGAAAAAAGTAAAAGATTTTTGTTGTTTGTTAATGAATGTCATTAAGTGTCATTGATTCCATTATTTTATATCTGGCTGCAAACCAATTTCAGATATTTGTACAAATTTACAAAGGAACTGAAAAATCTCCTCAACCTGATGTAGCAGACCTTAATTTATTTAAAAATTAAAAAATGCAGTTAGATAAAGCAGTCTAATTATGAAATATCAATGGCTTACATTACACTATGAGGTTGCAAAGATATGGATATATAGTGAGTGCTAATTCCAATATTAAACTTTATCGATTTATCCATTTAAAAAAAAATATATTTACGAGTCTAAAACTAAAGAACGAAAAGTTTTGACTTAAATTTTAAGTTCATGGTTAAATGCCACTTCTGACTTAATTTAAACCTGAACTTTAACCGTGAGGGTAAATATTTAACCCTGTGGTTAAATATTTAACTTGCCGAAATCGACGAGTTAAAAAAATTAAACAGAGGTTTAGATTATCTTGAAATCCTGCATTTTCCCTATTTGTCTATTATTCAATCATCATTCAGCTGCAGCTGAGAAAGAGGCATTCAACTTTACGATACATTTAAAAGTGAAAACCTTGTTAAAGAAATTTCACGTTTTAGATAAATTAATTTTTGGATGTAAACCCAAAAAACGGTTGTATGTTTAGTTTTCGGTTACATAAGAACAACTGATTAGCGATGGTTATGTAATATTCTCCGTAAATCCTTTTCTCTGATTGGTTCAGATTTTCCCGGGAAATTCAAATTTAAAATTGAGAAAGTTTAATATTAAAGTAGCTACTCATTATTTTACAGAACTTTTAACCACGAACTTAAAATTCGCGCATTCTTTAGTTTTAGACTTGGATAAGAATTTGTTTAACCTGTTCTGATTTAAGTTTGGAGACTCCTCCCACGTTGTGTGAGAGTTTAAGCTCGGCAATTAGATCTCCCTTAGGAGATCCAAATTCTACAATTCAAATAGTAATTAGAAAATTAGAAAATTAGAAAATTAGAAAATTAGAAAATTAGAAAATTAGAAAATTAGAAAATTAGAAAATTAGTTTGAAAATGTCGGTAACTTAAAGCAAGACGTAAAGGGACTGTCACGGGCAGCCGTAGTACATTTGAATTTCCGAGCCGGGTCAACCTTTCCGGTCCCAGTTTGTACTGTACCTTACTCTATGGACAGGACTAGATGGTGCAACAAGGTTGACGCGGTCAGGCTTTCATGCTTCATATAGGCTGAATTTACTTTTACCAAAGGGGCAGATTTGCGTGCTGACATAATTTTGAATGTTCTTCTTTTTGCGGAGTGTCTGATTTACTACAGTACCATTTAAACCTTTGACTGATCAAGAGGAACATCGCTGTTCTAATTTTATAATTGTCAACTTTTTTAACTTGATAACTTATTTTCTGGGAATCACAGAAAGTAAACATTTTTTTAATTTTTAAAACCACGTTGGTTTAATTTTGGAAAAGTTCGTGAAGTAATTTGCATAGAATTCACACTGTACACCGGCCCCTTTAGCTAGAAAAATGTGGATTTCTTCCTCGCCGATAATCAGACAAATATTTAAAGGGAACCGTTTTGAATCGGACATGTCACTCTATAAATAGGAGGGTTAATAGAAACTACGTCTAGAGTCCTTTTATAAAAATTTATATTTTAGCTTTTATGACTTTTGATGCTTAAAGTTCATGTTCTTAGATCGAGTTGGAGAAGTTTTGTTTTATTTTTTTAGAATTTTTTGTATCGTTTGTCAAATGCAAAAATTCGTATTTTTAATTTAAAAAATGTTTTACCTCCGGGAAGAGGTATAAGTTTCTGTAAAGGAACACTATGTGTTCTATCCAGCCCTGGTCGACTCTCGGTTTTTTTCAGTTGAACAGACTAAAATATTTTAATCATTAATTTTACTAAATAAAGGAGATAATTAAATAAATTAGAGTAATTTCATAAATTAGATTTATTAATCAGCGCAACTAATTAAATTAATTTAAAAGCCTTTTTTCATCAAAGATTGCATAGATGTTGTCATTTATTTAGATCTGGAGGCCACTTTGCATCATATCCTTTAAGTTGGCCCCATAAACTTTATTTTGATCCCATTTTCCTTCTAATCGCACCAAGCCTTGTGAAAGACCAAAAATGATTTACCGGTAAGGGTGAAGAGAACAAGAGATTTAAAGTGTTCACAAATATTTAATATTCAACAAATATATATAGTTTTCTATCATTAATGTACGAGGTGTGTTCAATAAGTTTTGCAAAAAAAATTTAAGGTACTTCTAGATTTTTCAGCCCAGTAATTTTTTAAAAGTTCACTATATCTAACTATACCGGATTATTTTTCAGATCAGTTGATGTCAATCATATCTTTGTTGTAATGTAAGGAGCGTTCTTCCGAAAGTATATTAGCTTCGTTCGTCACAGCAAGAAAATTTTCAGAATAATCTCAAACTGGATCCATCAGAGTCTGTTTTAGACCCTTCTAGAGCGATAAAAAGAAATGTGAGATTGAGTATTCAATGTAGGAAGGACTTTTGAGGATTTTTCTGGTTTTGATTTACATTTGAGATCCATAATCAATGTAATCCCTTAGGTCCTAAAGTCAGAGATCTTTGTCATTTTTAAATTTGCTTTACAACTTTGTTTACAATGTAAAAGCATATATCAAGCTGTCTGGAAAACATACTTCTTGAACTCTTGCTAATATGGTTTAAATAATTTTCAATATTTTCGATCATTTTTGGTCTTGAAGGTCTTTCCCCGCCCGGACATGTGATAATCCTTCAAATATTTATTTTTTCCTTCTTAACCCCATTAAACCACCATAAAAGTTTTCAAAATCGTTTTAAAATGCGTTGAGGGTCATGCTTTAAAGTTTAGCTTGGTTTTTGGATAGTCTAATAAAAACTTAGTCAATCATAGTGTCCTCTTTCTCTGGTCAATATTCTAGATATTTCTATGCTGTGACAATGAAGCTAATCCACCTTCAGGAGAACACTCCTTACATCATAACCACAATCTGCTTGACGCCAACCGGCCAAAAGTGTATCCACATTGCTGTACAATTGTAATGCGCTAATTTCTGCTCAAATAACGCAAATAAAAATCCTGAAATTATTTTAAATCTACGGAAGATAAGATGTTGTCAAATAATACTACGTGCATTCTCCGAAATAATGAATCTAAAAATATCAAATTTTCTCAAACATGATTTAGTACAATAACCTGCAAATCCTTCATTGATATTGCCATACTGGAGGGATTCCCTCCCCTCTCCTCTTTATCCTTTTGTGCAGGGAGGGAGGGAGGAGCAGACACTGTAGAGGTCAACACAGGGTGAGGAGGTGGAGGAGGAGGAGGGGGTGGTACCCTTGCCATAGGAGGAGGTGGTGGGGGAGGAGGAACTCTCTGTTCAGTTTTACTAGGGAGAGCTGTGTTAGATGAAGAATGGTTTGAACTAGAACTAGAACTAGGAGAAGGATGGTTAGGACTGTTAGAACTAGAACTAGGAGAACTTGACTCCTGAGAATCAAATCCAGATTCAGGTTCGGAGTCTTCGACCTAAATTTAAAGAAAAATAAACATTAAAAAAAGAAAATAATTTTGTTTTTACTTACTTGTATTTCGTCCAGGCTTTGAGGTTTGGATAGAGATTTCAGATATTCACTTGGTTTTATCAAAGAGTCTCCTTCACCCTGAAATATTTTACAATTATAATTTAATAAAAATAAATAAATTAAAGAGGTATATCGTATTGCCTGTATCCTGTATCCTGTATCCTGTATCCTGTATCCTGTATCCTGTATCCTGTATCCTGTATCCTGTATCCTGTATCCTGTATCCTGTATCCTGTATCGTGTATCCAGGTATACCTTAAAGCTGGTGAATCTAGGTGGAAGGAAGGGTAGAACCATGTGTGCTCCAGGGATAACAGGACGATCCTGAAATATATATCCATCAACTCATTTAATACAAATATAAAGAACTTTACAGGGTCTGTAGATGTAATTTCAAGTGACCCTCTTCATATTCATATAGTGGTATGTCCGATTAAAAACAATACCCCATGAATAAGATATCAATGTTTATCATTTTAAAAACTTATCATTTTCAATTGTGCTTCTCTATAAAAGTGACTTGCGCATTTCTTCTTCAGAAAAACAATGTAGGAGTTATCAGAAGTAAACTGTACTGTTAAAATTACAACGACAGTTTAAGTTTATTGATATATATCAGTATTTTCCATGTACGAGCTAAAGCCAGATTTTCATAAGTTCTTTTTCCGGTTAAAAACATTTATTTAGTACCCCGGAAAGATCCATATCCGGGATATTATAAAATATATATATATAAAATCATAAAATATACCTATAATGAAATTGGGATTTTCAAAAGATAGCATTAATATAACATTTTTGTAAAATTATTAGAGGTTATATTTTAAACAAAAAAGATTTCTGCACGAGATTAAAAATTAGCATGATTTTTTTTTGGCTTATTTTCCCGCTTGAATTTAAGATTCAAATTCAAAGGAAGGGGGCAATTGTTGAGAAGGGAATGGGAATGTTTTCGACAAAAAGTAAATAATAAAAAAAAAATAATTGTCTTACATCCTCAGGGGGAGCTGATTCTTCCTTCGGTATATTCTTCCTCTTCTTCCCTTTAGTCAGGGCAGAGGGCTTTAATACGTTACAGTTTTCTTCCTCCTAGACAGATAGATAGATAGATAGATAGATAGATAGATAGATAGATAGATAGATAGATAGATAGATAGATAGATAGATAGATAGATAGATAGAAAGATAGATAGATAGATAGATAGATAGATAGATAGATAGAGATAGATAGATAGAGATAGATAGATAGATAGATAGATAGATAGATAGATAGATAGATAGATAGATAGATAGATAGATAGATAGATAGATAGATAGATAGAAAGATAAATAGATAGATAGATAGATAGATAGATAGTAAATCTATGAGAACATCTTATAAATCTGGAAAAAGACATTATAAGACACAAAGAAAAAAAGACAAAGGAAATAAACCAATTTTCTTACAAATGATGGATTAGTTCAGTGTATTGAAAGCATTAATATACTAATATATATGTATATATATATGTACTTGTAAATAATAAACATAAATGGAAATAAAGAAATGTAGCGTTAAAATATAAAAAAATTTAAAAAATTTTTTATTAAATTAGTTCTGACTTTAATAAGTGGCAAGTTTTTTTACCTTACTGGAGAGCGAACTCAAAGAGTTAATACTTCCCCCTTTATTAACCTCGGGACCTCTTCTAAATAAACCAATATCAATATTTTAGTTAAATTTTATGAAAAAATGATACTTTAAAGGAATTGTAGAATAAATTTCAAGGGACCCTTAATTTTTAGACGGTTCCCTTTAAACCTTAATTTTTAGACGGTTCCCTTTAAACCTTAAGTTTACATGATCACCAACAATACGGAAGATATCGTCTATCATTGACAGCATAAAGTTGCAAATCACTGTAACAGAGAAATCACGATTAAAGATATTTAATTTTCAGCTAGAAAATAAGGATATATTGAAGGTTTTCAGGGTACAGTTGCACCACTCCATAAATGGAGGGTCACTTGATATTTAGTTTACAATAAATGAATAGTCTACAATAAATGAATAAATGAATAAATGAATAAATGAATAAATGAATAAATAAATAAATAAATAAATGAATAAATAAATGAATAAATGAATAAATGGAGGGTCACTTGATATTTAGTTTACAATAAATGAATAGTCTACAATAAATGAATAAATGAATAAATAACTAAATAAATAAATTAATAAATAAATAAATGATTAAATGAACAAATGAAGTAATGAATGAATAAATGAATAAATGAAGAAATGATTAATGAATAAATGAATAGATGAATAAATGAATAAATGAATAAATGAATAAATGAATAAATGAATAAATGAATAAATGAATAAATGAATAAATGAATAACCTATTAACTGCTGGTGTAAGAAGATCAGGTGGTGGAAGGGGGGGAGGGGGTGGAGCCCCAGCAGGAACAAATCTTGTTCTTGAATCCTCTTCTCCGTATAAAAGATAAATCAATAACCCTTCCTTTCCTTCCTTCCCTTCCTTCCCTTCCATTCCTTCCCTCCTATTTACTTCCTTTCTTCCCTTCCTTCCCTTCCTTCCCTTTCTTCCTATTTACTTCCTTCCTTCCCTTATCTTCCTTTCCTTCCATTCCTTCCCTCCTCCCTATTTCCTTTCTCCCTTCCTTCCCTTCTCCCCATTTCCTTTCTCTCCTTCTATGTCTTTTCTGCGTCTGTTCTAAAAAAACTGATTTTCTTCTTTGAAATGTAAAAAGTTTGAGCGAAGATAAATCTCTGAAGATCTAACTCCCAGCAGACCTTCCAATAATTAAACTTTACTTTTAGTTTCCAACAACAGTATCCAGTTTTACTAAAGGAGTCTGTTAATCCATGATTTATTTAACAGCTCTATTTATCCATTTTTCTATCTACCCTTGCATCTTCATCTATCTATCACAGATCTATGGTCACAGTTACCTGGTTCATCTTCAGATATTGCTTCATATTCATGTGAAGAACTCTCATCATCTTAATTAATTTAATTAATCAAGTTAAAGGAAAGGCTGAGGAGTTTTCTTAAATAAATTAATGAATTTAAAGGGGAGGCTGACAAATTTTCTTAAATGTAATTAATGAAGTTAAAGGGAAGGTTGACGAGTTTTCTTAAATAAATTAATGGAGTTAAAGGGAAAGTTGACGAGTTTTCTTAAATAAATTAATTTAGTTAAAGGGAAAGTTGACGAGTTTTTTAAATAAATTAATTAAGTTAAAGGGAAGGTTGACGAGTTTTCTTAAATAAATTAATGGAGTTAAAGGGAAAGTTGACGAGTTTTCTTAAATAAATAAATAAAGTTAAAGGGAAAGTTGACGAGTTTTCTTAAATAAATAAATAAAGTTAAAGGAAAGGTTGACGAGTTTTCTTAAATAAATTAATGAATTTAAAGGGGAGGCTGATGAATTTTCTTAAATGTAATTAATCAAGTTAAAGGGAAGGTTGACGAATATTCTTAATCAAATTAATGAAGTTAAAGGGAAGGTTGACGAATTTTCTTGATTAAAGACCACTACGTAAAATTGTTAAAGTTGATAATTTGTTTTCGTAGATATTGAACTGATTCTTTCTAAAGCAGAAATTTAAAATCTCTCTTTTTCTACAATAAGTGTTTTTTAAAGAAAATGTAAAATAAATATAATATTCTGGAAACCCAGTGAACACGACCTGAGATAAAACTAGAGGTGGGCACATTCAGACTTTAGTTAAAATCATTTAAAAGACCAACTGTACAGATTAAATATGATAAATGTTAAAATTATCTCATATTTTCTGTAAGTTTAATTAAATTTTGAACAGAAAAATTCACATAAATCATACGTTATTTTGAAACGCATTTTTTCATGAACCGTTATTTCCGTTTGATTACGGTTTTAAAAATTAACGAAATCTTCCGTTAATGTTAAAAACTTTAAAATTAACGGAACGCTGCCCAGCGCTAGTTACTCTCCTAAAACTTCAACTTTCAAACATTATATCCTTGCAACCTTATGTCGTGCCTGTAATATTTAAAACAAGAAACTCTGCTGGATAAAGTCAAAGTTTGAAATATTGAAAATTTTCAGGTTGCAGAGATAAAGGGAATGGGATTAGAAAATTAGAGTCTGAGACGAGGAGAGTGTTCTGTTACTTTGTTCAGTTCATCTATATACATACAGTTGTAATCGTTATTTGTTTGTTTGTCCGATCATAACTCAGGAACCCCTGGACCAATTTGCCTCAAATTTTGATTTGTGAACTCGGGAGACCCACGGGAATGTTCTTAGCTTGGGTTTGAGATTCTAAGTTGAGTTGGTCGACTATGACTTTTATAGCATAAAGTTAGTTCCCGGTAAAAATCGTAAAAGTGCGGGTAAAAACGGTGCGCACGGTGGTTACTTTGAGTACCCTGGCAACGCTGGGTTCCCAAGCTAGTAATTCGCAAAAAGAAAATAATTCACTCAAAAAAATCCTCTATTACCAAATTAAATCCTGGGTTAGTTTACTAACCTTGAGGTGGAGGAAGGATGGGTCCTGCTCGTCGTTTAGAGTTTATACCCTCATCCTCCTTTTCTATACTTACATAGCTTGACACAGAATACCCAGATCTAGAATCCTTGGAGATCTTCCGTGGACTACCATTGGACTTGTGACTATTTATACTTGATTGACTAGCTTTAATAGCTTGACTAGCTTGACTAGCATGACTTTCTTGACTAGTTTGACTGCTAGCTATTTCATACGTTGATTCATAGAACAAACTTTGTATTCTGGAATATTCCCTTTGCTCGCTGCAGATTGAGTTTGAACGTGTATGCAGAAAGAAAGGTTCAGAGCAATCATCCCTTTCAAAATCAACAATAGAATCATGACTTTTAGATCGAATTGTCATCCTTCTTTTATCCATTATTTCTGAATGGTGACTAGAATTCCTTCTTGATTCTGAAGGTTTTTCATCTGTTGGTCGTTTACTTCTGGTTTGGCGTTGAGTAGGAGAATTCCTGGTTTCACTTCTGTTTTGTTCTTTAGTAGATGTTTTACGATAATAGGATTCATGATCCCCGGATACAAGAAGGTCTCGTTCATTCGAGTTTTGAATTTCTCGGTCACTTGATGATCTCAGTTCTTGTTCAGGAGACGAAAACGGGTCTCTTTTATAAGACGAACTAATTTCTCTGGAAGAAAGGAGATCCCGTTCAGTGGAAGAACGCATTTCTCGTTCAGAGGACGAACGTACATCCCGATCAGTGGACGAATGCATTTCCCTTTCACTGGACGACCTCATTTCCCGTTCATTGGACGACCTCATTTCTCGTTCATTTGACGTCCTCATTTCCCTTTCATTGGACGACCTCATTTCTCGTCCATTTGACGTCCTCATTTCTCGTTCATTGGACGACCTCATTTCCCTTTCATTGGACGACCTCATTTCTCGTCCATTTGACGTCCTCATTTCTCGTTCATTGGACGACCTCATTTCCCTTTCATTGGACGACCTCATTTCTCGTTCATTTGACGTCCTCATTTCTCGTTCATTGGACGACCTCATTTCCCGTTCATTGGACGACCTCATTTCTCGTTCGCTTGGCGAACGAATATTTCTTTCACTAGATTGACGAGTGGTGTCGCTCTTCAATGATGAGCGAATTTCTCGTTTGCCGGAGGAACGATCTCTGTGTTCTGTGTGAGCATGGAAACTGATGGATCCTGTTCTCCGGGTTGGTTTGGATACTGAAGTATGGAACCTCACTTCTCTCTCACTTGATACTCGTTTGGATGAATCTGATGAACGCGTGGATGAATCTGAGAGCTTGGATGAGATCTGTCCTGATGAATGAGGAGAAGGTTGACTAGATTGTGTCCTTGTTAATCTTCTCTCATGGTTGTCATTCTCATTATCATCGTCATACCTTCCTTGTCTTAAATTAGAGTTTAAAATTTTATATATAAAAGCTTAATTTTGATTCTCCCCTCCCCCTGTAATACCCTCTCAACTATCAAGATTAATTACATTAATGTTAAATACAATTTTTAGAATTTTGAATCTGCAAATTTTCCAATTTTGGCATTTAAATATGGTAATCATAAGTTGAAAGTAGTTTTAAAAGTTGATTTTGATATATTATTATTCTAATTTTAAACTCGGAGACCTTGATTGATACTTTTCATTTTTGAACTCAGATCTTTTCTTTTCTCCGTGTTTATAATCCGACCTGCTCTTGTCATCATATCTGATCTTGTCTCCGTCCTTGTGATAAGTCCTGCTCTTGTCTCCGTACTTGTGATAAGACCTGCTCTTGTCTCCGTCCTTGCAATCTTTCCTACTCTTGTCACTTTTGTACTCAAAAATTTCTTCTCTCTTGTTCCGCAACATTTTCTCCTCTTCTCTCCTAGCTTCTCCTCCTTGCCTCATCTCCTCTCGTTTTCTCTCTTCTCTGCTCTTGTAATCTTTCCCTTTAACATCTTTGGTATTATGAGAGTGTCCCTTTAAATAAGCTGTACTGGGTTTATAGTTAGTATCATCCATGTAACCGTCCTTAGGGTTGGGTTTTAAAATATTCACACTTTCTGCATCATCTCTATACATACCTTCCTTCTCTGCTGGAGGGGTGTGTAGATAGAAGGGTTCACATTTATCGGGATTCTACAATAAAAATAATAATTTTTATAAAATGATACAACTACAGCAACTGAACTGTTGCAACCTAATCTTGTAAACCATTGCTACTTTATCATTGCATAAGGTTGCAAAGTAAACCGTTTTTTAGTCCTTGAAAAAGTTGATAAATGAAAGAAAATGGAAAATAACAACGATTATTACTCACATAAAGGAATTAAGTATTTGCCGTTAACTCACATTTTGCAACCTGATGGTGTAGACCATTTGATATTTCAAACTTAGATTATTTGATTTAACAGAATTTATTGTTTGAAATATCTCAGGTCTACGACATTGGGTTGCAAAGATAAAGGGGTTAGATAATCAGAGCTTGTGGTAAAGATTCAATTCTTTTTGATTGAATCCAAGCTATAAGGTGGAGAAAGAAAAAAAATAAGTTTTCTTTTACCACATTTATTTTTAATTATAATTATTAACGGAAGAAGAGATCTCGATTATAAACACCTATTTAGAGAATTGTTAATCGGATTATCTATTGTATAATCTGAGGGAAAAATGTGGTGAAACTCTTTTCGTAAATACAATTTCAAACAAAAAAATCACGATCATGTTTTTTTCACGATCAATTCTACTTTTTCGTGGAATAGTATTTACAATTGTACATAAATTCATTTTGATTTGTTTATATATATTTTTACATAATGGATGGGATGGAATGGTGTTAAATACATTTTAGTTTTTATCAGGTCTCTACACTCTACACTCTACACTTTACATGCGGTCTCTACACTCGACATCTAGTCCTACACTCTACATCCGGTTTCTACACTCTACATCAGGTCTCTACATTCTACAGCCATTTTCTTTTCGTACTTCATTGATTACAACAATAAAAACTCAAGTAGATCACCCTTTTATGTGTATTCGAAGAATTACTACTAAATTTTCTTAGAAAATATTTTTTTTAGTCTGAGCACAAACCACAAACCTACCACAAGCACAATCAAGCTGGATCGGTTCAGCCGTTTTATCTATTTATGAAACCCAAACAAAACTACAATTAAAACAAAAATCCGACACAACCCAAATGTATTTACAGGCTTTGTGGTTATTAGGATGACGACATATACAAAATGTCAAGTATACTTGATGTTGTTATTAAGAAAATAGTTTTGCCAGTACAATAAAGATCAATTTATTATGTAAAAGTAGTCTATGTAAACTGGACATTTGCTTAATTTTATGTTGCTTGGAGTATTTGAATCATCTGCTTAATCTTATTCACGTTTTACGGGTCTCACTGGAGATAAACGGAAATTTAACATTTCTAACAGTGCTAGCCTAGACAAAAAAGAATTTCATTTTGATTTGCTTTAGAACTTCAAATTTGCTGTTTACATAAAAAATTTATGTACCGTGATTCTGGGATTAATGTAAACAAACTAAGTGCTCTACTTAAAGGGATTTTAGGCGCAATTTTAAGTGATTCTCCATGCAAAGATGGCAATTCCTGATTCACAACGGTTTTACACTGAACATCTTTACCTAATCAATTACGTGGAACATATTCTTGTTTTTCTAGAATTAAAAGTGTTTATTTCTGATAATTCCAATATGTGTTCCAACAGTAAAAATGCGTGTGCAAGTCATTTTTGTAGAGATTATTATTATCATTATTATTATTATTAATGGTAAAATATTTTCTGTAGATAGAGAGAAACATTCCATGCACTTCAGATTTTTTTTTTTTACAAAATTGTTGTACGCCAAAATGGGTAATCCTTGTTTATTATTTCCTAAAATGTTGCCCCTTAAAAAAGATAAAATAGAATAAAGATTTTTAAAACGATTTTTCATATATATATATAAGTTTATGATTTTATTAACTAACTAACAAAAGACTATTGCATTTTTTTGTGCCGATTTAAACAGCTTAAAATCCATTAAATATTCTTTTCAAAATAGATTTTTTGAAACCTATTTTTCCGCGAAAAATCAGGTAAATTTTTTTACAGGAACTCAATGCAAATATGTGAAGAAGATTCAAAATTTATCCCAAAAATATAAATACAGGGTGTCTCGAAAAAATACTAAGTTTGAGAAAACAATTTTGTAAACATTTTCCAAAAAAGCTGTAATTGAAAACCTTTATATTTCGTTATTTCATGATGTAATTTTTTTCTAGGCTTAAAGGAAAGGAAAAATTAAAGGGGGCATAGTGTGAAACCTAAGCAATTTAGGAGTTGATACCCATAAGACTTCTATCTGATGTCCCTGTCTCGAGAAATTGATATAAAACTGTGTCAAATATACCAAAATTTAAATATATAAAATTTTGTATAAAAATCGAAGGTTTAAACAGATCATGTCAGCAAATACGCAACAAATCTGGAAACGACGATATCCCAGAAGAAGCTGAAAAAAAGCTCCTATTATTATTTGAATTTAATCAATTTTCATTTTTAATAGATATAATTGTTAATATTATTTATACGTCCGTATTACGTGACCAGAACTCCCACCAATGACAGTGCAGTAAACTGGTCACGTGATACAAGGTTCGCACGGACAAAAATAAAAATAATTATCACTATTCCAAAATTAAACCTTGAACTAACTGAAAAATATAGCTTTTCAATGACAACGTGAGTGTACAAATTGAAAATATTGTCCCCTCACTACCCAATACCCCTCCTGGACCACCCTGTCTCGATAAAAGCAGAGGAAATATAAACTAGATTCTGAAGTTGGTTGCAGTCTGCTAACCAAGTATAGGATTCTCTAGATATTTTATTTCTATAAATAATTTATTAGGAGAAACTCCGCCAATACTAACTAAATTTCAAACTCATGTTATAAAGAAAAAATTTGAATTTGAAGGGGCTCCTTGAAACTATTTTGGAAAATGTATATATATATTTTGATGCACAAACACAGAAAATTAAAAAAAAAGAATATGTAGAAATTTTAATTTTAGGCATCCAAATTTGACAAAAATAAACTGACAATCATTTCAGGGCCTCTCTCTGAATTTTATTAGCAATCCCTTTAATATTTTGCAAGATGCTTAAAGGGACTGTAAAACTAAAAATGAAAGGACTGAAACCTAAGCATTTCAGGAGTTGATCGAGACCTATAAGAGTTCTATCTGATGTTTCTGCCTTGAAAAATTGATAGAACATTTGTCATAATTATACCAAAACTTATATATGTAAGATTTAGATTTAGATTTATATATATAAGATTTTGTAAGATTCTAAGTTTTAAAAAGATCATATTCAGCAATTATGCAACCAATCTGAAAACTAGGATATCCCAGAGGAGCCTGAAAAACTCAGGTTTGCTTCTATTATTATTTGAATTAATTTTTTTTCATTTTATATTGATATAATTGATAAATACGTCCGTATCACGTGACCAGAACTCCTACCAATGGCAGTGCAGTATCATTGTAATGTGATACAGTTTTCAGATTGGTTGCATATTTGCTTAATATGATCTGTTTAAAATTTAGAATCTTATACCAAATCTTACATTTATGAGTTTTGGTATAATTTTGACACATTTTTATATCAATTTCTCGAGACAGAAACATCAGATAGAACTCCTCCTAGTGATTTCCGCCTATATCCCCTTTCATTTTTCCATTACAGTCTAAGATTTCAAGGTTCAACGCGTTTTATTTTTAAATTTCTGAAATCCGTTCCTAGTTTTCCTATTTCAATAATAGAGCGATATTTAAACGTTTTAAACTACTCGTATTAGGATCTCAGTCAAGATTTTAGATATTTTAGCATTTTATCTAAATCTATAAAGATATAATATATCTAACATCTATAAAGATATACAACTTAAAGGTATTTATGTCGACCTAAGTCACTGAACGACGATGATATTGCTTGTTTAATTCAGGGATAGACGTCTCAAACCTGAATCTGGATGAATGCCAAATTAAAAATATTTCCGGCGGATTTTACAAATATTTTTTTATCTCTTCCTAATTATCATCACCTTAATTTAGGATGTAGCGACCGTGAAACCATTTCAAACTAATTTCGGCAATTGCGCGTGTTTACGGATATCAGACTTATCTACTTTAAACACACTGCACACTTAAACAAACTTAAACATACCCACTGGACCACAAACATATTAAACTTATATTTTTGTATTTTTAACAATTTTGGTTTAATTCCTACAAATAGGATCGAAAAAAGAAAATTTTATTGGATCAAGTTTGGATGTTCGTGAATTATTTCTGAACACGTTTGAATGTTTTTGATCATGTTTGGATGTGCGTGAAATATACCTGAACAAGTTTGAATGTTCGTGAACTATTTCTTAACATGTCTTAATGTTTGTGAACTATAAACGAACAAGTTTGAATGTTCGTGAACTATACCTGAACAGGTTAGAATGTTTGTGAACTATACCTGAACAAGTTAGAATGTTCGTGAACAAATACCTGAACAAGTTTGTGTTCAGCTTCTTGTGTCCTGGCATATCTCAGAAGCACCACAAGAACCTTTTAAAATCAATTAATCAATATAAGAAACTTTTTATGAATAAAAAAAATAATGTTTTAATATAAAAGTTTGTTTACGTCTGATTGGTTGTTTTCCGTTGCATCATTTATTGGAGTTTTTCCAAACTTATCTTCAGCTAGCTTTGCTCCCTCGCCAAGCAACCAACGAACCTTATAAATAAATATTTATTGATTTATTTAATGAACAATATTAACCCCTCCCCCCTCCATAGAACTACCGATTAGTTCAATTCGTTGGTTATTGGAATCGCCAGTTCGTTTTTAAAAACGTTCACGAACACCCTCCACCCGTTTCTTACAAACACTTTATTTCCTCTTACGGAAAAACAGGATATTTTAATCTTATTTCTGGAAAAACAGTTAAAATTAGAGGTAAAAATAAGACTCGAGGAAACAGGATGAATTGTTTGTATTGAAGTACTTTTGCTTTTAAACTAGAATTCTTGAGTTTTTCCCACATAATTCCTATATCTTTGCAACCCAATGTCATAGACCTTAGATATTTTTTAATCTGTGCATTTTGTGAGATAAAACAATTAAAGTTGGAAATATCAGGTTTACAACATCAGGTTGCTAAGATATATATGCATAACTATCCGTGATATCAAGAGAATTCGAATTATTTGGATATTTTTTAAACAAAAACTATTAATATATAAGATTAAACAAAAACGTTAAAAAATCTTACAAAATTAAGAATCTAATCTCATAGCAGCATAGAAAAGAAAATAATTCCAACGATATTGCTTGTAACTTGTAAGGAAAAATAAAACTATAAAAAAGTTGTTACGATTTGAAGATTTTACTCAACAATTTTTGTATATTGTTTTTTCGACTATTTTACCCAATGGTTAAAGTTTCTAAACCTGAAATTCTAATTTTCTAATCTTTTTATATTTTGAAGAGAGTGAACTGTAAGCAATATTGATCTATGAAATTCAAAATTTGAAAAATTAAAGGTTTACGACATCAGATTGCAAAGATATAAGGATTAGAAAATTAAAGGTTTACGACATCAGATTGCAAAGATATAAGGATTAGAAAATTAAAGGTAAGTTTGTTTTCAATAGTCTAACTGACCACTTGAACATGTCCCCTGCTGGCTGCAAAATGTAAAGGAGTTGCTTCGTCTCCATCCTAACCAAACCAAACCTTTCAAATCTGTATCTAGGGACCAAAATTAATGATGAGATCGCATAAGTTGAACTGCATAGTCTAAGCTGAACCCCTTCTTTTGGACTTGAACCAGCGCACAAAAGTCTAAGTAGTTCAACTACTTCCCACTTTTTATCAAATTTGGTTCCAGATTATTCATTTTTGCGACGCATGCAATCCAAGCATGGTTGAAGCCAAGAAAGATAACCTAAGAACTTCATTTCTTATGTCAAAAGAGTTTACTGCAGTTTTTGCAAAACAAATTTCCTAATCAGCACAACAGGAACTGAAATTTGACCACAAACATTTTCTAATCCCTATAATAATCTAAGTTTAAAATATCAAAGGTTTACACAATCATGTTGCAAAGATAAAGGGATTACAAATTTGAGCTTGCGGCTAAAACTTAATTGCTTTGTTGATATTCCTTTAACAAATCGCAGTTTTCGGTAGTTAAGAATATAGTAAATTTTCATTGGCTTAAACAGCGCGCGCGTAGAAGATACAATGATAATTAAGCAGAATTATTAAAAAAAATATTATCTTAAAACATTGAAAGATTAATTGTTCCCGCTGCGGGAAAATAACTTGGTTCGGAGCAGGTATGTCGCAAAGAAACTATAAAGTCACATTTTGAAAGACGTGTTTCATTAATCCATATTTAAAAAAAAACTTTGATAACAAATGTTTCATTTTAGATTATAATAAAGTCATTTGAAATGGTTCCTTTAGATTGATGTCCACACTTTGTTCCTGAAACATTAAGAAATGTAGGATGTTTAAGAAGGAGAATTAAAAAATAAGAAAATTTAGATGATAAAATATTACATTAATCATCCACTGGATACAAGAGAGGTTTCCCATTTGAGCAGCTGCATGGATCGGAGCCATTCCTAAATACAGACTAGATATATATACTTTCTAAACACAGATAATATAATTCCTAAACATAGACTACATATATATACTTTCTAAACACAGATAATATAATTCCTAAACACAGACTAGATATATATACTTTCTAAACACAGATAATATAATTCCTAAACACAGACTTCATATATATACTTTCTAAACACAGATTATATAATTCCTAAACACAGACTACATATATATATACTTTCTAAACACAGATAATGTAATTTCTAAACACAGAGTACATATATATACTTTCTAAACACAGATTATATAATTCCTAAACACAGATTACATATATATACTTTCTGAACACAGATTATATAATTCCTAAGCACAGACTATATATATAAACTTTCTAAACACAGATTATATAATTCCTAAACACAGAATAGATATGTATACTTTCTAAACACGGATTATATAATTCTTAAACACAGATTATATAATTCATAAACACAGACTACATATATATACTTTCTGAACACAGATTATATAATTCCTAAATAAAGATTATAAATTCCTAAATACAGATTATATAAATTCTAAACACAGATTATATAATTACTAAACACAACTCAAATAATTCTTAAACACAGAATATATCATTTCTAGACATAGTTTTATAACTTTTAAACATACAAATTTTTTTTATAATTCCTTTACACATAATTTTATATAATTAATTTGAAAATACATTTCTAAATACAATATTCTTTTTACCACACACAATTTACATTTATTTAGGCAGATTATTGTATTATATCAAGTAATCATAAATGAATCCTAATAATCTTATACTGAACAAAATAATCTTATTACGAATAATATATTTATATAGATATATTTTCTCTTTAAATCCAACTATAGTTACATTTAAAGCTTTTATTCCAAAGCTCCCATTTCTCTAAAGTAATTAATTTAACAAAATTTATCCTTTCTACAGTTAACGCTTTTATTCTCGAGCACAATTTTATACTATATGCCAAAGCTGAGATATTGTAATTATTTTATCTAACAAAATTAATCCTTCCTTCAAGTTTACGTGTATTCTTCAGCACTCCCCCCCCCTGGCCCCCCTCTATGTATTTTCAAATACATATATTGTTATATTGTATGTTTTTTTTACAAGCACAATCATAATAGTTTTTAACTTTATTTCAAAGCTGAGATATTGTAATTATTTTTATCCAAATATTGTAAATATTTCATTTAACCCTTTTCCTAGGTTTACTTTTTCATTCTCAATCCCCCCTCTCCCCTCCCCTCCTTCTACATACCATCTTGAGCTCTGCAGTTTACATCTCCTCCTTGTGCTACGAGATACTTCAGCACATCTAGATGCCCTTCCTAATATCATTTTATGTGCAAATATATATATTTAAGATAAATTTGTTTTATTGTCAAATTGATCAGTATTTCAAGGTTACCAAACGTAATTACCAAACAAAAAATATTTTGAAATTTTAAAACAAAATAATCTTTTCATTTATTCACCTGGGCCGCCAAGTATACAGGACTGACTCCATTCTCCATCCCAATGTTCGCACTAAAATAGAAATAAAATATAGGGTTTTAAAAACTTTTTTCCTTTCTACAATTAGGGTTATGAGGAAAAATAAAAATTATGTTGTCTAATCTTGGTCTTTTGAAGAATAGTAAATAAAATATGCATACGTGAAAAAAAATGAGATAACTTTTAAATATCTTTCTTACCATACTCTATTGTCTTTTAAAACGTTCACATATCTAGTCCTTTCCATACTCTATTCTCCTTGAAATCTGTTTACATATCTTCCTTTCCATACTCTACTCTCCCTTAAATCTGTTTACATATCTTCCTTTCCATACTCTATTCTCCTTGAAATCTGTTTACATATCTTCCTTTCCATACTCTACTCTCCCTTAAATCTGTTTACATATTTTCCTTTCCATACTCTACTCTCCCATAAAACTGTTTACATATTTTCCTTTCCATACTCTATTCTCCTTAAAATCTGTTTACATATCTTCCTTTCCATACTCTACTCTCCCTTAAATCTGTTTACATATTTTCCTTTCCATACTCTACTCTCCCATAAAACTGTTTACATATCTTCCTTTCCATACTCTATTCTCCTTTAAATCTGTTTACATATATTCCTTTCCATACTCTACTCTCCTTTAAATCTGTTTACATATCTTCTTTACCATATTCTACTCTCCCTTAAATCTGTTTACATATTTTCCTTTCCATACTCTATTCTCCTTGAAATCTGTTTACATATCTTCCTTTCCATACTCTATTCTCCTTGAAATCTGTTTACATATTTTCCTTTCCATACTCTATTCTCATTTAACTTTGTTAACATATCTTCTTTTCTTTACACTATTCTCCTCGAAATCTGTTTACATATCTTCCTTTCCATACTGTACTCTCCTTTCAATCTGTTTACATATCTTCTTTTCTTTCTTCTATTCTCCTTGAAATCTGTTTACATATCTTTTTTTCTTTCTTCTATTCTCCTTGAAATCTGTTTACATATATTTTTTTCTTTCTTCTATTCTTCGCTAGTTTTCAAACCGGACTGCACCCTGGTTTAAATGTATGAACATTTAAAAAGTAGAAAAATATTTTTAAAACAGAAATGTAGGCTATTAGTTAAACAGAAAATTTCCTTCTGCATGCATCAGTTTGACCTAAAAAACAAAACTTCAAAGTATTTTCATCTAGTTTAAAATCAAATGCTTAGATTTAACCAACTCACACGTTAAGAAATGTCCAATGATTTCTAGTATTTAGTTCACAAAAATAAATATCATCACTCCAAACAATATGTTATTAATAAATTCATAACACATCTGGAGGATTACCGCTTTAAGGAAGACGATGTAAATTTTATTTTTGATAAAGGTGGCGGTGGTGCGCTCTTCTGGGAGTTTGGACCAGCGTAGAAATATATTTCTACGTCATCAGGAATATAAGGTTGAGATTTATCATTTGTTTTCACCTTTTTCAACCTTTTCTTGTGATCATCCTGAGTAAAACAACTCTTCAACGTTAGCTTAAACACAATTAAAAAATTAGTTTTTTTTGAGAAAAATTACAAGGTTAAGGAGGGGGGGGGGGTGGTTAAAAGCTACGTTGTGAGTTCCTTCCTTTGCTATATCTTTAACCAAAGAGCGAATGTCTCTGTTAAACACAATTGGAGCAATATGCCTATGAATCACTTGGCCAACTTTGATCTCACTTTTATCTATTGTCTCTGCGTGTCTGAGGTTGGCACCACCCTGCTGAATGGATGCAAGAAGGGCATTCGATAATGCAGGGTTGGACTTTATTGAGGATTGTATTGCTGGAGGGGGAGGAGGAGAAGGAGCAGGAACAGTGGAAGCAGATATGCTTCTCATCTCAAGTTCTCTCCTATAAGAAGGAACAGCAGGAACATTTGAATATTGATCAGAAGTGTTAGGTTCATCCATATATTCATTTTCCAGAGTATCACTAGAATATTTACTATTTATCAAATCAGCAAATTCCTCATTAAATACGTCATCAATAGCTCCTGATCTCATTGCATCAAACTTTTCTTTGTCCCGAACCTTTTGCTCCTCAACATCAAGGAGGAATGCATCAACTTTTTTCATAACATCTCCAGCTGGTATCTCATAATCAATGTCCCATGTTTCTAGCTCAAGTGTCTCAAGAAGATCATATTTTGCCTCAAAGGTAAACATTTTTGTGGTTGCAATCTGTCTGATTTTTTCTTTTGAATCATCTGTTAAATAAAGGGCATCTGCACAGACAGGATCCCCATCTTCCAGGCCCATGTGCATGATTGCTCCTTTTGTAAGTTTACCCAAATTGTCTCCACATATGAAGCAAAAAAATTCCCCTTCAGAGGAAACTTTATCCCTGTTAATTTTTCGTTTACCGCAGCTGTCATTACCAAGATGTGCTGATCCAGTAGATTTTCCAGCATGCGCTTCAATTTCAGCAGTGGGACTCCCGTCCTGCATACTACACATTGATTTTGATCCTATGCCAGAATCAATGCTTCGTCTTGAGTGTCGTGACAGCATTGATGCAGAAATTGTTGGGCTTGTCTTTCCACTGGTATCATCATTATGAAAACTATGAAACATTTCGCTGTTAGGAGTATTATTTCCTGATGCAATTCCATCATCTGGTATGCTCATTTCAACTTTGTCATGTGGTTCGTTTGTTTCAAATGCATTTTTCATTGCTGACATGTCTTGTAAGATTTGTTTTCTTTCTTCTCTTAAGATTTTTATTCTGGCTAACATGTCATCCAAGCTAGAATCACTGTTCATGCTCTGAGGTCTGGGACAGTTTTCAGGGGTTGACATTTGCCTAACTAGAGCTCCATTTGAATTTTCAGAAACATTTTCCTGGGCCGCAAGTATCTTTTTTTGTCGAATAAAGGACAGTTTTCTTTGAGTTTCTTCATCTAAAATACTATTGTTAGGAGAAATAGTTGGGATTTCCCCACCTAGCTGACCATGGGAAGCTTTCTTTTTGCGAATAAAGTCAAGTTTTTTCTGTATGTCATCAGGAACTAAACTAATTGCAGGACATGACATCTGTTTCTTGTAAATAGGTGGTTGAAATTTATCTGTAAATGAATCTTTAGATTCGTCAGTTATATCAATTTGTTCTTGAGATACCTCAACATCCATTGAAGTTTCCTCATTATTATTGGACATTTTTTTATTGTTGTTACAATCTTCAGCCATCACAAAGTTGGTTGTTTCTTGTTCAATGGTTTCCACATGTTCATGTTCAACTACGTCAATTACAATTTTTTCATCTACATTTTTTGCATCTTCGGGTTCTTCATCAGTTTCATACTCCCACTCTGACGCAGAATCTTGTTCTTTCTGTTTGTAATCCATAGCATCAACATTTGCTGGTGAAGCAACTGTATCTGTAAAACTTTTGCGCTTTATTGAACAGTTTTGACCGCTAATTTCAGGAGTTTCTTCTTCAAGCATTGAATCCACAGCAATAGGTTCTGGGCAGATTTCCTCTTCACCCTTAGTTTCAACAAGATTTGTACCGTCTTTAACAACAGGAGATTGATCAAACTCCATAGAAGGTGGTTGACAAATCTCTTCCTCAGGGTTGACTTCTGGATCCTCTGAATTTTGTGACAATATTTGTTTCATCCTGCGATCTCTCTCTGTGTTAACCTGTGCTTCCATCCATGCAATCCATGTACATGGATCATCACAAAACTCACATGGCTCTGGAGATGTTATATAAGCTGGAAGTTTAGGTTTCATAGCTCTTATCTGTTCTCTGGTTAGGGACGGTTTCTCAAAAATGTCTTGGTTTGTTGAATCATCAATCATCTCTTCAGGCGAGCATTCAATCTGTTCTATCACAACTGGATGAATTTTTATTGTTCCCGATGCTTCCTCTGTTTCTAGAGTATTACCTTCATCCATATTTTCCTCTTCATCACTTTCTGTTTCATATTCATATTCATATTCATACTCAGACCCTTCCTCCTCGTCCTCTTCAACAGGTTGTGCACAAACCTTGGTATCCATGCTGGTTAGTTGGTGGTGTTAGATGTTGTTAGAGGTATTGGTATTCTTGGTGCAGTTTACTAGTTGTAGATACTGGTGCAGTTTAGTATTAAATACAATGTTTAAATATTCTATTTTCCACAACTAAATTCTTGCCTAGGAGCTACACTTGAATGGGAAGCTGTGCGTTTTTGTCTCATCATGCCCCATGGTGTTTCTTTGTAAGGCATTGGACAATTTACAGGTATAACTGGGCAGGAGACAGATTAGACTTTTCTCTAAAACTCTTGAATTTCAATATCAGTGGTAAACCGTGACCCTAGTGCACCATATTCTAGCTGCAAGTTTTTAGAATTCCTGAATAAAATATTTAAAACTTTTCAAATAAGAAAAAGATAGAATGTCCTCACACAAATTAATCAAGAACTATCTAGAAAATCCCAAGTTGTCAAACTGTCCAAACTGATCAAGTAAATTGTAAAGAGAAAGAAAGAACATATAAATTTGAAATAAGATCAAACTAATTTCGAAGCAAACTACTTGAATATGAATATATATTCTGGGAAATAATTTTTTGTTTTACAACTATGATTTGTAAGATTAGTAATTTCATATGAAAAATTATCACGAATTAACTTTTTTTCTTTAAAATGAGTTTAAAATGGGTAAATAATATGTATTTGAATCCCTTTCCTGAAGAGGGGGGGGGGGGGAAACTTTAATAAATCTAGGAACTAAGTATTTATCTACCCTTCTCATTCGATTACTCATAGGTCACAGCTAGATGGGAATATTTTGATAAAATTAGATAGTATTTGAAACTATATTTAAATCAAACTCATAAAGAATTTGTAAATTTTAAATATCTTAACTCTATTTTTTATTATTAGCTTTGTATTTTATATTTATGATATTTATGCACTAAAAGCTTTTAAAATAAAAATGTAAAAATCGAAAATTTTATTTAATTAATGAATTGAAAATTCTAAGAACGAGAATCCACATTTAAAACTATTTTATCATTTTGAATAAATCAATTAAAATTGAATTTTACCTGGTGGCCTAGGATAATATAGGGAAAATTTTTTTTTAATTCCTTTTAAAATTAACACCAATGTTTAAATTTACGTAGACTATATACAGTGTTTAAATCTAGAATTTGGTTCCTAAACTGACTTCCACCGATCTATATCAAAATTCCTTATTATCGATCTACAGATCTTGGATCTTTACAATAATATTCCACTTAGATTGACGATCACTAAGAGCTTAGATAACTTTAATCTTTGCTTTAAAGATCATTTTATTAAGAGCTAGCAGGCTGAGCTCTGTAATGCCTTCAGAGGATCAATTCGAAGTGATCTCTAAAATCTATCAAGTCTCAGCAGGGGCGTACACAGGATAAAAAGAAAAAGGTATTTATGGATGAAAAAGAAATAAATAAAAACTAAATATAAACCTGAGTTAATTTTTAAATTTCATATTTTGTGTATCCCCACCCCCCCTTGAACTATATTGGCCCTGCTAGGCACCTCTAGAATCTGCTGCCTGAGACCTGAACTTGGGCCAAACTTTAAGCATACCTGGAACAGGGGCGTGTACACTCTATATACTCTATACACACACAATATTTGTTAGATTATCTAGAAAACATTTCTTGAAATTTTTTTTACAATTTTTATTATTTTACATCGTAGAATATATTTTGCTGTCTAATACGCGTAGTTTTCCAGTAGTATCCTTAAACATTTTCCTCCAGGCCTAAACTCCACAAAACTGAAAACTGCTCAATCTTAAACATTTTCCTCCAGGCCTAAGCTCCACAAAACTGAAAACTGCTCAATCTTAAACATTTTCCTCCAGGCTTAAATTCCTCAAAACTGAAAACTGCTAAATCTTAAACATTTTCCTCCAGGCTTAAATTACTCAAAACTGAAAACTGCTAAATCTTAAACATTTTCCTCCAGGCCTAAACTCCTCAAAACTGAAAACTGCTCAGTCTTAAATCGAAATTTGAAGTGAAACTCTAGATAAAGAGGCGCATGCCCGGTTCACAACAATACCCTTGAAAACTTAAAATGATCAAAAATATGGAAGATTACGTAATTTTTCTTGTTTTATAAATGTTTAATTCTAAAAATATCTCCACTCTTTCTGAAGCAAAAAAGGCGCAAGTCACTTTTGAAGAGAATACAAAAATGAAAATAAAGAGTTTTCAAAAACAAAAAATGGGATTTCTAATTCTTACTTGATCAGCTAAAACTTTTAAGGGCACCGTTGTGAATCGGAAAAACCATTTTTAAATGGAGGGTCAGTTGAATTACGTTCACAGGAATTGTTATTCATTGAAAGGTCCATATTATCGGATCAAAATTAAGCCATCTTTTTGTTCTAAAGATTTTATATTCATAAAGGTCAAATTCATTATAATACTACTATTTTCTATTGGCAATAACTTATTCCCCCCGAATATTGGGTTCTTATATTTTTACTGAATAGGTAAAAAATCTCTTTAGCTGGCTTTTGGATTTAAAGCTAGAGGTGTGGAAAGTATTTGAATGGAATTTGTATAGGTTAGCACCGTATTCAAAGTTCATATTAAAAGATATGATATTTTTTTATTTTTCTCATCAAAAGTTCTACAAAACATAAACCTAAAATAAATAAAAAATCAAATTAATGGTTGTCACGTTTATAACGGTTCTTTGGGATGATCTTTTATGCAGAAAGGAAGATTTTTTTTACGTTTTTATACAAATTATGAAAAAGTAAACAAATATAAAAATAGGATAAACAGTAAAATTTTTAAGATTGTTTTGAAAGAACTTATTTTTTTAAACTTTGATTTGGACGCATTGGGTAGAGTATGTAAAGGTAAATAACATAGCTTATAGAGGATGGATTTTGTAGATTATATGTGAATGGATTATGTAGATTATATGAGGATGGATTATGTAGATTATTAACATAAATAGTTGGTATGCATAAATAGTAGACAGATTATGTAGAATAGATATATAGAAGGCAATTCATTTATTTAAGATAAAGGATAGATTATGCACGTAGATAGATAATGCAACAAATGATATAATTATATTTTATGACTAAATTGATGAAATTTAGATGAAGCTCTGCAATAAAGTTTATTTTTAAATTCTGGAATGTAGATGATACAGACAAATCATAGAAAGTAGATTTTACAGAGTATGGTTGGTAGCATGGTACTAGAATATATAATACTAATACATTTATTACAATCACGTATAAAGGTTCGGAAGTGAAATTACAAAGTTCTGGTCGGCTAGTTATTCATAGATATAGATACACTGTAATACCTACACTTTAATCTTATTCAATCATTAGGGAGTACCAGATATATACAGTATATATATACAGGGAGTACCAGATATATACAGTATATATACAGGGAGTACCAGATATATACAGTATATATACAGGGAGTACCAGATATATACAGTATATATACAGGGAGTACCAGATATACAGTATATATACAGAGAGTACTAGATATACAGTATATTTACAGGGAGTACCAGATTTACAGTATATTTACAGGGAGTTCCAGATATACAGTATATATTCTGAGAGTACCATATATACAGTATATACAGGGAGTACCAATTATACAGTACATACAGGTAGTACCATATATACAAGGAGTACCA